CGAGAGTCGTACCAAGGTTCATCACCGAACGCCCAGAGACCCCGCACCCGCTTCAGTCTGTTTTGAAGCTGAATTTGTCCGTCTTCTTGGGGCAGACGGCACCCCGTTCGCCATGCTCGGAAAATGCTAAACATGCGCGATCTTAGAAGCAAGCGTTGCACCCTGCATGTGCAATGCATTCCAGTATGGCGCATGCGCATGCGCGGCCGCGTAGAAATTTTCAAGATGCGTTTTGAAATGCGAAGATCTGCGTTTTGAAATTTTCAGTGTCGGCCCTTTCTGATTCATGGTTTACTTGCGCATGCCACCGGCGTCAGTTTTGAAATCCGAAAGTGTGGGTTTTGAAAAACGAAAGTTTCAGTTTTGAAATTTTCTATGGCTTGTCGGACATAGCGTTTTATGTGAGTTGCGACGTGCCCCGAGATGCAGCCGCGGTCATGCCGTCCGTGTTCGTGCGCAGGCCCGTCCTCCAGTTCGGACGTCGTGCCCCCGACTGGTTCTTTCCCACTGCTCTAGCACAGGACATGCATCCACGCAGAAATTGTCGAAGTTTTTTTTTGGTGGGGGTGGGGGTCTCTGGGCAATCCGTCAGTTAAGTCGGGCGTGTCCCTCTACAGGGGGAAAATTCAGAAACAGTCAAAAATTCGTCTGGGGACGATTCTTTGGATATTTTTTTGATCATCTGGGTGGTATGTTTTGAATCTATTTGCTTCCTTTCGCCCAGAATCCCCCTGTAGGGGGGCACGCCCGACTGAATACCAGGGCTGTCCTTCCCGCCAGGAGTTGCTGGGGGGTCCCCGGGGCTTCCCGCGGCTTCCGCTGCAGGTCTCCAGAGGCCGCCAGGGAGCCTCCCAGGGGCAGCCGAAGGCTTCCGAAGGTGTTCCCGAGATCTACCCACCGGTCGTTGAAAGTAGGTATTTTTGGATTCCCAGATTCCAATCTACTTTCAGCGCCTTCCTACTTCAAGAGTCGAGTGGTTTTCCCTCTTCCCTCCTCTTCAGGAGGCGGGGCGGAAACCCAATCTATTTCCAATCTATTTCCGGTGGGCCCGGCGAGTCCACGACTGGACACCTGACGGGCGGAGAGCCCGCGGGCGCCCTCTGACACGATGGGCTGACCACTTCCGCTGAGCCCGTGGGGGCACGTAGCCGCGCGCGCGCGCAGCTCGTTTTCAGCGACCATTCCGTTCCTACTTCATGTTTCTACCCACTCCTTCCACTCTTTCCAGCCCTGGTCAGTTCTCTTTCTTGTTCCAGCCCTGGCGATCGCATTCCTACTGTTTCGGGCTCGCTTCACCCACTGTCAGTTATTCCAGCCCTGGCCACTTCCACTTTCACTGATGTTCCAACCTCCACTTTTTCCAGCTTCCCTGTACCCTTAAGTCGGGCCTGTCCCTCTACAGGAGGAAAATCCCCAAATAGTCAAAAAATAATATGGGGACGATTGTTGGACTATTTTTGAATATTTTGGAGTATGTTTTGAGCATTTCTCATTTACCGCCCAAAATCCCCCTGTAGGGGGACACGCCCGGCTTCATCTACCCGAAGGCATTTTGGCTCAAGCAGACTGCCCGAAGCAGCTTGTGTTTTGTTGTCACCAGTGCGTCAGAAGCAGGGGCAGCAATGAGAGCAGTGCTGACTCTGATCAGCGCCACCGGCCTTGTCTGTGCACGCGCAGCCGAGTCCGATCAGCCCCTGCCCTTCAATGGGGCTTTCGTGGCTGCGGGCGTAGCTGCGGTGGTCGCTACTGGGGTTGGCCTCATGATCTATCAGACGCCCAAGGACATGCGCGGGCCTGGCAAGATATTCAAGGTCAGGACTTTGAACGGAATCGAGTCCTTGCCCCAGGTGATCCTTCCCAACGTACTTCCCGCCGCGACCGTCACGTTGGTGGCCGTCCCCCTCAGCTTGGCTCTCGGCATTGCCACTGGCACAACGCCGATGACTGCAATTGCCACTGCCATTGTTGGTGGCCTCGTGAGCGGCAGCTTCGGGGATTCGGCGTTCAATATTGTGGGCCCTGCCGGGGCGCTTGTGGGCATCCTCATGCGCTTCACTGCCACATACGGCGCAGAGGTCCTTCCATGGCTCTCATTGATGTCGGGGACCATGATAACTCTCACGATCTTGCTGCGCCTCCACGAGTACTGCATGTTCATGCCGAAGGCAGTCTTCGAGGGCTTCACTGTGAGTGTTGCACTCACCATCGGCTTGGGCCAGACAGACTTCGCCTTCGGCCTCAGCCCGCAGGCACCAGCCAAGATTGAGGGCCTCGAGCTCTCCCCAGGGATCTGGAAGTTGGGCGCATCCATCAAGGCCTTTGGAACAATCCAGGCTTCGAGCACGATATTCTTCCTCGTCGGCTTCACTGCAATGTACGTTCTCTTCAAGATAAAGCCCTCGATCCCCTGGATGGTGCCGTTCGCCTTCGTGGCTTGCTTCATCGGCGCTCTGTGCGACGAGGACGCGCTGGGTGTCGTCCCCCTGCATCTCCCTAACTTGAGGTCCAAGTATGGGACTCTGAGCTTCTGGGCTGTGCAAGGGCTGAAGCCCTTGACACAGATTGTTGCGGATGCCAACGATGGCGAGGGGGGCAGCTACGGTGAACTCTTGATGGGTGCTCTTTCCGTCACGATTGTGGCAGTCCTGGAGACGTTGATCAGCGCCCAGATTGCGAAGACCCGTTCAAAAATGCCATACGACGATGTGAAGGAGCTCCAGGGTCTGGCCTTGAGCCACTTTGCATGTGGGATCTGCGGCCTCATGCCTCCCACCGGCGTCTTCGTACGCACCAGCGTGAACCTTTCCACCGGTGCCACTCACAAGACGTCACAGTTCATCCAAGGTTTCTTGGTTTTCGTGTTCGCAGCAGTTGCCATGAAGTTCGTGTCCTACATCCCCCAGGGCGGCATTGCGGCCATCCTTGTCATGTCGTGCTTCCGCATGGTGCCGTGGGGCTACGTGCAGAAGTTGTGGAACGAGCAGAAGTGGCACTTCGGGCTCCTCTGCGTGGTGGCTCTGGTGTGCTGGATCGTCGACTCCGTGACTGGGCTCGTCGTTGGCACAATGGTGGCTCTTCTCGTTACAGGAAAGGAGACCGCGCGCGGCCACGCAGAGATCTCGATCACGGCGGCAGGCAACAAGCAGCTCGCGGACGGTTCTCCGGAGATGATCTCGATCGATGCGCTCGCCGTCGACAAGGTGGATCTGGCGCGCAGGGTGAAGGAGGACTCGGAGTCGGAGTCGGATGAGGACTCTTCAGAGGAGTCGGAGTTGGAGTCGCAGCTGGCCAGCACGAAGCCAAGCTACTCCCACATGGCGTATGCCCCGGAGTTTGATCAGTTCAGTCGGCAGGAGAGCGACCAGTTCGGTCGGCAGGAGAGCGTGACGCCAGAACTGTTCGCACGCGAGGGCAAGGAGCGTCTCACGCCAACGGTTCGTGGTGATCGTGTCTTCCTCTACAAGTTCCTTGGGCAGTTGGACTTCTTGGCTGGGGACCGCCACGTGGATCGCATCCAGGGCATTCTCAAATCTGGGCCCAAGGCCGTGGTTCTTGCCATGCAGAATGTACCGTGGGTGGATCCCGACGGCTTGGAGGCCTTGCGGGACATGGTGATGATGCTCGACAGCAACAGTGTGCAGGTCTACTTGGCTTGCCCCCGCCCCAAAGTCACAGAGGCCTTGGAGAAGGAGGCCTGGTACCACGAGAAGATCGGCAGCGGCCAGTTTGTCTTCACCACGGAGAAGTCTGCTCTTGCCTCCGCGGTCGGCAAACCCTTGGATGCGCAGATCGGTTTCCAAAACCCTATGTTGGTGGGTGCCTGAGTGTAACCATTGGTCAACGGCCAGTCTGTCCTGAGACCGCCAGCCCATTCAAGTTTCAGATTTTCGCGGGCGTCAAATTCATAACCACGGGATTCGCTGACTCTCGTAATTGCCCCCCCTTTCGTCCGACCCAGCATGGGTCAGCGGCCAGACTGTCCTGAGCGCGCCAGCACATGCAAGTTTCAAGGGCGTCGGTCATGGCAGCGTCGCAAGCGTTGTGCCTCGGAGGGGCATGCATGCGTTTTTCCAGATGGGGGACGATCGTCCCAACATGTGGGCTTTGGTGTTCAGCGGCGGTTCTGAATCCGGACTGTCTGAGCTGACACATTTGCTTCAGACCTGGCCTTGGCCAGCTAGCTAGGCCCATCATACTCGAGACTCGCCAAACCGTGCGCCAACACTCAAGGTGCCTCCAAAAACAAGCAAAGCAGACATTCCCGAGCTCGATGGTCCTCAGGACGCGCGTTGGTACCATCTGTGTTTGCCCCGCCCATCTCCACCGACAGCAAGCAGCCCGCGTCGGCTCTGAGTAAGCCGACTGCGTCGCACTGAAAGGCTTCGCTGGACAAGCACACGTCTGCGCCAACACTCGGCGGCGAGCGAGGGAGGGAAGTGAGAAGGAGAAGGCCTTCTCAGAAGGCGGCGGGACGTCTCAGAAGCCCTCCGGCCTTCTGAGAGGGTCCCCATGTCTTCGGTGAAGGCTTAGAAGACTTCTCAGAAGGCCGGGGGACTTCCGAGCGTTCTGAAAAGGCCCGCCCCTTCTCGCTTCCACCTCGGGCTCGCCGCCGAAACACATGTGTTGACGATCATCGGCGAGCCCGACGTTGTCGCCAGCACGAGCCTCCCGAGGGAGTTGCCAGAGCGTCCCCCGGGTCCCCCCCCCCCGGGGCGCGCAGGTGATCGCGCCTCGCGCGTCGCGGTCTGGGCCAAAGCGGATGTCCTTCTCCAAGGGGGGGGGGGGGCGCGAGGGCGCGAGGGCGCGAACGCAATCGCGCGTCGTGCATCGTCGGGCGCGATGCGCGAAGTCAGGTGGCCTACGGTCGGACCGGGGTGCAAGATCGAGGACGGTTCGGGGAGGGTACGTACCCTAACGCTCTTCGTGCTCGTGGGGTGGCCGTGTGCACCCTGGGGGAGGGCACCCTCGGATGTGCTGGGTGGCGTGGCCCGCGGAGGGTCTCATTCAGGCGATCGCAAACATGGCTGGGTAGTCGAAGGCCAGACTGTCAGATTGGATTGGGCCCCAAGGGCCAATCTGGCCCGGCCAAACTGGATGATTTGGGTTATTCGCCAGACTGGATTCGCGTTGGCTCCCTCGCCAGATTGCCCCCGTTTGCCAGATTGGGCCTGCCAGATTGGCGCCAGATTGGCTTCGACTACCCAGAAACATGGATCAAGGGGGCGTGGATCAGCGACGGGTCCCGTTTCCGTAATTAGGACATCGCGGATTGACGCCGCCGAGCGAGGCGGCATTGGCCGCATTTTGGGGAGGGCACCTCCCCCGATCCAGGGAGTTGGCGACCGCGCGCCGGATCCATGGGTCGCTAATCCGTGCTTGCGCGCCCCCGACTCGTGCTCTTGAGGGAGGCTCGCCTGTCCAAGGTCCGGCCGCACTTCCCCAGGGGATTCCTACGGCCTCAGCGAGGGCCTGCGACGCACCGAGACCGACGCGCGCGCGCGCGGCGTTTCCCGGCGGGCACCGCCCACGGCGCAGCTCCCGGCCCCGCCTCCCCAGGGCCCTCTCCTCGGCGAGGATCTCAACACGAGTTCGGCCGCGGCGACGAGGAGCCCGCTGGAGGCCCAGGCCTCAAATCTCGGAGCGAGAAGATCGAAGCGCCCCCGAAGAAGAGGACACACTGTAAGCATGAGCTGTCGGAGCTTCGCGCGGATTTCCTGGATCTGCGCCGGGCCCCCCGATGACGGTGCCTCCGGCGCCGCCCCTGGCGCGCGGAGCGCGCTGGGGAGGGGGGCCCAGCGCCGATCCAAGAGCTCCGCGCGGACCGTCGAAAGCTTCTGTATGTGCACTCCAGATTTCGTAATAAAAGGAGGGGGGTCTCATTTCGGGGGGGGGTCTCTTCCAGGCTATCTTGGAGGGCCTGGGGGGGTCTGGGGACGATGTTTTGGAGGGTTCTCCCACAGGGGGGGTCTGAAATGGCTTGTCTTGGAGGGTCCAGACCCCCTCCCTTTTATTACGAATTCTGGAGTATGCGTGGTGCTCTTCCGCTCATGAGCCTCGGAGTGTCTCCTCGCCCTGCCGCGGGGCAGCCCCAGGGCCTCCCGGGGCCTCGGGCGCCTGTGCGGCGGAGCGGCGCCCTGTAGGGGGACATGCCCGACTTAATACTGGCTCGCCTCCTCCTCCTCCTCCTCCTCCTCCTCCTCCTCCTCCTCCTCCTCCTCCTCCTCCTTTCCTCCTCTGTGCAAGTCCGGCTGCGCCCTGTTCTGACTGGGCTCGAAGATGCCACAAGAAAAGACTTAATACTGGGCCGAGAGAGAGAGAGAGAGAGAGAGCTTCGACGACGAAAAAACGGCATGAAAGTAAACTGTTGGCGCTCGGCACGGAGCGTTACAGGTTTGTGTTCGTGCCGTTGCTTTTCCCCCTTCTTGGAGCTGAAAGCTGACAATGGGTACCAGATCCCTGGCACGGCTCCTTTGGCCGCAGCTCGCGGCGAGCAACGCCGCGCGCAAGCTGGAGGTCTCACGACATGCCTCGCCGTCGATGCGCTCGGCCAGCACCCTCGCGACGATCGCCGTCGCTCTCGGGTTCGAAAAACGCCGCCCTCCGCGAGCCTCATGATCAGGGCGACGAGAAACAGAGAGAGAGAGAGAGGACCCGGCCCATCCATCGAAGAAGAGAAAAGGTGCATGAGCAGAAGCCGTCGGGGTTCCGAAAAGTGCAAAGTCGTGTTGTGGGGGTTCTTCTGATCCGCGGCACTTGTTGCACCGTCAGCGTCCCACCAGAAAGAACGCCGAACGAGGAACGAAGGGGCTTTTCTGGCCACGGCGAGCCTCGGCTTCGAGCAGTTCCCCCGACCTAAATCGAAGGAACGACCCCAAAGCCGCAGCCCCCTCCTGAGCCCAAGGTGGTTCTTACTTCAGCGTCTTGCCTGGATGGTTTCACGGATCTTGCCGGCGAGAAGACCGAAACGGCCAGCCTAGGAAGGCAGCGATCGAGCGTCAATCGATCGACGTTGCCAGCGTGCTGGACCCTCCTCCATCCACTCTCCCCCTACATGCCCCTTTCCTCCCCCCGCTTGCGAGTAGTCCCAGCAATCCTCCTCCCCCACATCGGGCCGAGCGAAAAGGGGGGGTAGGAGAAGGGGGGGGGGGGGGTACGACATCGGCTGCATGCAGCTGGTTTCGGCCCCACCGCCGGGCCCAGTCCTCGGTACACGGGCGCCTCCCAGCGCCAGGAGGCGCCAGGAAAGCCAGCTCCGCGAGCTGATTCTCTACCCTGCCCTTTGCTATCCTACCCTGTCGTCCCCCCCGACCACAGTTCCTCGCATTCACAACCAAGCACTCTCTGGACGCAGACTAGAAACAAGCCGCCTCTGAGCCCCGCTTCTTCGTGGGACGCGCGTGCCACAACGGTCCGATCATGAATCCTCTATATCCGCCATTCCATTCCATGATCCTCCCCTCCTGCCCCTCTTCATCCTCCCCCCTTCACATCCGCCCGTTCCTTTAGTAGAGTGAATTCCTCATCGTCCCCCGCCGCGACCCACCTCCCCGTGACAGGAAGGGTACGCGAAGCAGCTGCAGGCGAAGATGAATGGGCTCGGCGGGCCGTCTGCGACGGAGGAGTTCGCGAGGCTGTTTTGGTCGTCGTGGTCCGCACGGGAGGGCGGAGTAGGGAAAGAACGGAGCAGGACAGAGGCGGGCGCGAGGCGATGCGATCTCTGCGTCTGCAGGACTGCTGCAATCTATCGCTGAGCCTCTTCGGGCCCAAGCGGAGGACCCCCCAGGGAGTTGGGGGCGAGGATCGACGGAGCAGACCGGGCAACCGATTCAGGACGGAGGAGGGAAAGAAAGGAGCAGGACAGGGAGGGAAGGAGGAGCAGGAGAAGGAGGGGAGGGGGGGGGAAGGAGGAGGGGAGGAGGAGGAGGAGGAGGAGGAGGAGGAGGAGGAGGAGGAGGAGGAGGAGGAGGAGGAGGAGGAGGAGGGGAGGAGGAGGAGGAGGAGGGAGGAGGAGGGGATGGCGGGAGTCGGATGGTAGCAGGGAGGGGCAGGGCGTAGGGAGGGGAGGGGGAGCGGGAGCGGGGGGAGGGGAGGGGGAGGTCGGACAGCAAGCTAGCTGCGCTCGCGCTCATATCTGATGTCCTACCCCTCCCTCCCATCCCTTACCATGGCGTAGATCTCCTCTCTATTCGTACAGTCGGATGTCGTAGCAGGGCATTGCATTCCATGGCATAGCATGGTGTTGAAGATCAACGCGTAGCCTGACGCCCCAAAGTGGGGGAGGGGGATTCTGCGGCCCAAAAAATCAACGAAGCGGCACCGAATGTGTAATCACTTCTGATGGTTGCTTCGGGGGGGGCATTTTCTATTTTGGGGTCCTATCTGGAATGACCGAAAACCATGTCGTGACATGGCGCTGGAAATAATGACGCCAGCGCTGCAGCGGGAGCACGATTCCAAGCGAGCGGACGCGCGGAAATTAAGGCCAGCGCTGCAGCGGGAGCACGATTTGGAATGAGCGGAGGCGCGGAAATGAAGTCAGCATTGCAGCGGGAGCACGATTCGGAACGAGCGGAAGCCCGAAAATGAGGCCAGCGCCTCAGCGAGAGCAGCATAGTGGAAAAAAACACAAGCGAAAACCCAACTCGCCGACATCCTGTGCGGAAGAAACAATACGCGAGGGGGGGCCGAACACTCCGAGACAGATTCCGCCACAGACACAGGGCAGAGAGGAGAGTAATATTCATATTAAGTAATTGGAGGGGAGGGAGGGAAGGGGAGGGAGGGGGGAGTGGGGGAGGAGGGAGGGAGGGAGTGAGGGAGGGGAGGAGCTGGAGGAGGGAAGAGGAGGAGGAGGAGGAGGAGGAGGAGGAGGAGAAGGAGGAGGAGAAGGAGGAGGAGGAGGAGGAGGAGGAGGGGAGGGGGAGGAGGAGGAGGAGGAGGAGGAGGAGGAGGGAGGAGGAGGAGGAGGGGAGGGAGGGAGGGAATAGGAATAGGAATAGGAACCACTGGCGATGCCAATCCATACAATGCTACCCTCGGCCTCGCTGGGCCAATTCGGCCTTGCTGAGGACCTTGGGGGGGAGCCCTTCACGAATTCTTCTGAGGTACTCACGGCCCGTTGCTGACAACTTATTCGTACAAGGCTTAGCAAGCGAACGGACTTGCTTGTCAGCAATGGCCCCACACTTCCCACAGAACCAACAATTCAAAGAGGCGTGCACATTGAGGAGGTGAGAAGGATGCAGCCAGCCCCCCCCCAACGTGGATCCGCCCTCCGACTGGAGGAGAGTAAATCAGACCATTCACATTCACTAAGCTGTGGCACTCCGAGGCATGCCATTCCTTTAAAGTGTCCACGGACGCTGAGCCGCGGCACCTCAAGCATCTCTTTCGGCAGTCGGACAGCCGATGTCGAGACAAGAGAGCAGCAACGGCAGCAGCAGAGGGGGGCGGCGGAGGGGGGGGAGGCTGAGGGCCTCCACGCTTTTTCCTGTCACCACTCCGCTCCAGCTGTTTTTTCCTTAGCCAGTGCATCCACAGTCGCACGAAGGAGGCGGAGGCGCACCAAACGTGCGCGACGCTCGTGCAGCAACAGACGGTAGCGCTGGTCCTCGGGCACGCGGGCCTGTGCAGCAGCCAGGCCCGCAAGCTCGTCCACAACAGCGTTGCCAAGAATCAACGTACGTATTCCTTGTCCGTCGGCCAACTGAGTGGCCGTCATATGAGAATGTGTGAAGAGGACTGACACATGATGAAACGGTCTGTGGGCCATGAGGTCACCGATGGCCGCCCAAAGGTCAGCGTCAGCACCTCTTGGCTGGCGAAACCGTTGTTCGTACCAGCCTGTGACTACATCTGCAAAGTCAGTGACAAAGGTGAGGAACTGCGTGGTGGCCCAGAGGGCCAGATACAAGCACTTTAGTTCACCTCTGGCTACGACCTGCCGCATGCCGCTGAGTGGCCCAAAGATCGAGCCACGCGGAACGACGGCGGGCTGCAGGCGGGCAAAACACGTGATAGCCAGGCCCACGCGTCGGAGCCTGGGGCTACGGCTGTCGGGCCCTCCGCTCGCGTCGCCAAAGATCAGCACAGGGTCGGAAGGCGACCCTGGGCCAAACAGTCCTGGCTCCAGGTATGGGGCGCCAGTGAACTGCCAGGCGTCCTCTGCAGGCGGTGGGCTCACTTCCGTCCAGGGGGCAGGTAGAAGCCCTCGAAGCCAGAAGGCCTCAGCAGTGTTGCACTGCGTGACGGCCTGCGCGCACAGGTCATCGGAGTCGGTGTACGGCTTGGCGTCCACATTGCACGAGCACTGCCAGTACCTGTGCAGAGGGGTGTCCACCTCGGTGCCGCAGCGGTCGCACTTGTCGGTGCCCGTGTAGTTCTTGAGCTCCTGCTTCTTCCGTTCGTTGTTCCAGATGCCGCCTGACGCCACTAGCACCATGATCTCGCGCAACCTTTTGCCGTTGGGGACCTGCGCCAGGTGCCTGAGCAGCTGGATGTATGAGGTGTTGTCGACGCCCTGCTCCAAGCCCCCGCCGCAAAAATGTCGTGCTGCCTGGGTCCAGAGCTGAGCTTCGCAAAACTTACGAATATCTGCTAGCAGGTGATCGTGTCTATCCACATGCGCGTTGCCTGTGTAGATGCTATCAGGAAACTGCCACTCCTCGCTGCTGTCGGGGCCTGTTTGGTAGGACCACGTGGACGGATCATGTGGGGTCCAGCCTAGTCTGAGCAGCGAGTGTATGATGGCCCCCGTCGGGCCTCGGATCTGCCGTACCTGTGCAGGGACGGGCACAGCTTGCATCTGCTTCAAAATGATCGGCCAAGCCTTGCGAACACCTGCTCGGATGTCTGGGCAGTCCCTCCAGATCTTGGGCCAAGTGTCCACCGTCTGCACGGGGTAGAGCACTGCTGGGTCAGCGCCTGGGGCCCGCAGGGCCAGGACCGTGGTGAGGCATCGACCGCGCGCCGATGAGGCGCATGTCTGAGCCAAGCGTCGCCTGCACCTGGTCAACTGCTCGCCGAAGAGCCCGTGGACCTGGTGGCCGTAGACGCCCGCGGGGAGCCCTCCCTGGCGCTGGAGCTTGGTCATGGCGCTGTACTGGCGGGTGGCTCTGGTGAACCTGCGGATCTTGGTGCTCATGAGGCGATGCTTCGCTTCACGCTGCACCCTGGTGGCCCTCACCCTCCTGCCGCACCCAAAATCGATGCCGAGGTAGGTGGCTTGGGACACTGGCCGAATCGTAAATCCAGCACGTCGGACTAAGCGGGCAACAGCACGCGCGTCACTCATGAGGCTCCAGACCACGACCGATTTGTCCGCAACCTTGAGCTTCCTCGCCTGTAGCTCGCGGCACGTGGTGATGATGCCACTGGCGAGCTCCAGGCGCACCGCCTTGCTGGATCCCTTGAATGTCTCCGAGACGTCGTCGACCCATAACCTCGCTCCCATTCTCGGATGGGCTGTGGTGACCGTGACCATGACGCGGTGGGTCATCATCTTGGCGAAGCGGGTCCCCGAACGGAGACCCTGCACTACGCTGAGCAGCGGGTCGAACATCTCAGACACAGCATTGTCCTGCTCCAGACAACGAGGAGCAGCGCACTGTAGCAATTCCAAATATAGGATAACAGGAGGAAAATTCAGCCGCAAAGCTGCGGCGACTAGGATGTCCCACGGGATGCTGTCGTAGAACGTGGCGATGTCGAGCATCCCGTGGCCGTACTTGATGCCCATAGCATGGGCTAGTTCTTCGTCCAGCGCCCTCAGGAAGGCCTCCTGAAGGCATGAGTTGCCTGGCAGGGCGGCGCCCCAGTGGCGAGCACTCTCGGCCGACCAGGTCTGGACCGTGGGTTCGCGCATCAATGACCACAGCCGTCCGAGCATCGATACTAGCCCGATGGCTCGGTCGCCAGCCGTCTTCTTGGGAGTGAGCTTCCCAATGACAGCCAGCGTCTGCGCTGGCCACGCCAGCGTGGCTTCCACAGCCTCCAGGATGAGTAGCAACTCCGCCTGGCCCTCCACGGGGAGCCTCTGGTAGTCAACTGGGGTGACCATGTCGATGCCCATGCCTGCCTTGGCCTTCATACGTGAGGCCGCCTTGCCGATGTCGGCCACGTGCAGCGACGGTAAGGGGTCGTCGCTGGCACGGAGCCTGATCTGCCTGAAAAGTTCGCGCACGTCCTGCAACTTGGGCGCCGTCGGGGCCCAGAGCTGCTGGTACTTCTGCGCCTTCGCGTCCATGAGGTCCTTGGGGTGGTAGACCAGCTGCTGGCCGACCACGATCTCCACTGGAGGGAGAGGCCCCTTCTTCAGAGACTTGTGGAGGATGCCGTTGGCCTCAGGCTCCACCACCCACGATCGGAAATCATGGATGGCCGCCAAGACAGCCAACCTCTGCGCTCGCTGCATGACCTTCTTCGCTGCGTGAACGTACGAGTCCAGCACTGCGGGGTTGATCTGACACATACCCTCAAGGATTCTGATCCACTCGTGCCACGGAGGGTCGAGACCAGGACGTAGCGCATTGTGAGCTCCGTCTGGCCTGTCCACCGCTGCCTTCTGCGCAGCGACCTGGTACAGTTCCAGCTGCTGGTGGCCGTTGCTGCGCTGGCGATGGCGGGCGATGGCAGCGACGATGGTGTGGACCTGCGTCCACCACTGCGCACGCTGATCACGAAGGTGGACCTGTCGGCGGTGGGCCGCTTGCCTGACAGGGCCCTCCACCAGCCTCGCGCCGTGCGCGCGCCGTGTGCGAGGGAGGTCCAGGCCATGGTGTCTGGTGATGCTAAGCTCCACCGTGGAGATCCAAGCTGCATACATTCCTGAAACTACAGTAGAGTGGGAGGCCTCGAGCCGAAAAGCTACGGACTTGAGGAGAGACAGAGAAAGAGAATGAATACAGTCCTGCCCCGAAGCAAATCCGACCTCACGCCTGCTCTCAACCCATAACTCGCTGGGGATCTGAAACGTAGCCGACGGCGAGGGGTCGCTTTCAGGGGCCTGTAACGGACTGGGCTCTGGGCCCGAAAACTGAAGAGCAGACCGGTTTAAATCGGGATTTAAATCTTCCCCTGAACTCGGTGGGGGGGGCTGGCCCGAATTGGGAGGGGAACTACACTGAGCTGGTACGTGTCCAGACGCATGTTGTTTCTCCTGACTCAGAGCAGCACTACCTCTACCCTCCGAGCTTGGGTCGGGAAGGTTGGGGTGACAGGGAGTGTCGAGGGCATTACTCAACCCCCTGTCAGAACAGAAATTGAGCTGGTCTGCCCACGGGTCGTCCTCTTCGTCGGGCCAACAATCTTGAGATTCATCAGCCTCATCGGGAGGGGCCTGACCTACACCCTCCTCCGACGACGACGGGACCCCAGGGCTTCGAAAACAATCACCAAACAGCTCAGAAAACCTAGCTTTGCGCGCCTCCAGGGCCTCCTGCTGGGCTACTCCCTGGCGGGCCCTGGACACACTGGACTTAGAACCAAAAGTGGGCTCCTTGCTGGGCCTCGGGGCTTGAGGAAGCCCGGGGGAGACCTCGAGGGAGCGGGTGAGAAGCTGGAGTCCAGAGCTCCGAAACTCTAAGGCAAGACCCTGATGTGGCTTCCAAGGGACCGCACGCACAGCACTGATTGTTTTGAGAAACGGCGTGGCCTCGGGGCTACACAGAACATAGTCGAGCACCTTGTCGCGCCCCTGTGGGTTGGCGCAGGTGCCCTCGGGGCCGGCAGTACGGATGACTCCATGCACATTCTGAGCAAAACGGCTGGCTGCTAAGATGTCGGGCTCCATATTGAAGTCGCCCACGACCACCCATGGGAGCCTGATGGCCTTCAAGAGGCCTCCGAGCCGTTGGAACCTGACCTTGTTGTGGCCGTTCATCTGGATGCACGGCAGGGCGTAGAGCACCACCACGACGATGGAGTACCCTGCCATGTGCAACACCATGGGAAGAAACCCGTCGAGGCTAGCCTGGCCAGCCTCGCGCAGGTGGCCAGCAGCAACCTTGGCCTCAGGCAAGACGTGGGCCTGGAGGTGCTGCTGCGCCATGAAAAACTCGCCGCCTTCATTGGCCCGCTCCTCATGCTCCGCTGCCACAGATTTGGATGAGGGGCGGGCCGCATTGTGATGAAGCCGAAGGTGCGCCTCCCTCGCCTTCTTGTCCCACTCCCTGAGCTCCGACTCGGTGTGAATGTGAGTCTCTGCCCAGGCCCAGTACGCGTACTTGCAATAATTTAATTGGAGGTATTGCCACACCTTGGAAGTGAAGGCGGTGACATTAGCGTAGAACAATGTCGTCGTGCCCTCGGTGTGTACTTGTTGGTCTCGCGATAGTCAAGAGGAGGCCTCTGAGCCCTTCCCCTTGGCCTTGGCCTTGGCTGCCGCCGCCTCGGCCTTGGCCGTGAACTTGGCCTCCGACAGCTTCTTGGCCTCCGACTCGATCTTCTCGGCGGCAGCCTGGGAGGCCTCACCGTCCTGGGCCGTGGCCGTGGGCGCCGTGTCAGTCGGCGCGCTCGCCCCAGCCTCTGGTTTGGCCTCCTCCTCTGCCGCTGCAGCTTGCCCGTCATCACCCTTCCTCTTCTTCCTCCTGAGGCGATCGGTGATATCATTCTGCATCTTCCTGGCGTTGTCGAGCCAGGCCTTGATCTCGGCTTCCTTGCCTGTCAGGTCCGACTTGACGCCCTTGAGCTGCTCTTGAAGAAGCCCTCGTCCCACTCGACCTTGAACATGGCCGTCGCAGACGGCTCCGCTGTGGGCGGGCCCACGCCCTCCGCCTTGGCGACGGCCTGGGCGGCGGCCTTCTTGGCCGCAGCCGCCTGCGCCAAGGCCACAGCAGCCCTGCCCTCCTTGGCCTCGGCGGCCTCGAGGCTCTGCCTCAAGCGGAGCACGTTGTCCACGCACTGGCTGTGGTGGTGCTCCGCATTCTTCCAGGCCCCGTCAGCCTTGCGAAGCACCTCGGCTGGGGACACCGCTGCCTCGGACTCGGCCTTGGCCTGGGTGCTGATCTTCTCGATCTGCTTCTTGAGCGCCTCCTGCAGAGCCGCGTCCTCTGTGGCCTGGGCCGCCTGCTGGAGCAGCTCTGTCACGGAGGTGCCTGCCGTACCCTTCGCTGGCGAGCCCTTGGCTCCCCCGCCACGCCGCGTGCCTCTCGGAGAGTGGCTGCGCTGGCGGCCGCCCTGTGGGGCGGCGGCGGGGGACGGGGCCGCATCGGGCTGCACGTCATCCTCCCAATGTACTCGACGTCCTGCTGGCTTGTAGAGCGTGATCGACGCACCACATCCTGAGCAAGCGTACCCATGCTTGACAATGATGGAGGTCCACTCACATCGGCGGCACTGGTCGCATCTGGTCCACAACTGTGTCATGGCGGAATCTGGTCTCGGTGTTGGTCACAAACCTTGGGCTGTGGCGTGGCCCTCGGTCTGGGTCCCTCAAGCGCTGCGGGGAAGCCCCGAGAATCGCGCGCGTGAGGTGCTAAGGCCGCTGGGCCCCTGCACCTGCTTGCGCCCAAATTGCTTGAGGGGAGGGAGGGAGGGAGGGAGGGAGGGAGGGCGGGAGGGAGGGAGGGAGGGAGGGAGGGAGGGAGGGAGGAGGAGGAGGAGGAGGAGGAATGGAGGGGGGGGAGCGGAGGAGGAGGGAGGGAGGGAGTGGAGCGGACGAGGACGAGGACGAGGGACGACGGGAGCCTTGGCCTCCGTCCGGCGCCCCCTCCTCGACGAGGGGGGGAGGACGCAGAGGATTTGGACAATGACCGCAACGGTGACGAGGACGAAGCTGAGAACGACGGCGTCGGCGGCGGCGACGACGACGAAGACGACGAGGACAACAACGACGAGGGCGGAGACGACGATCAGGAGACGACGACGACGACGACGACGACGACGACGACGACGACGACGACGACGACGACGACGACGACGACGACGACGACGACGACGACGGCGGCGGCGGCGGCGGCGGCGACGACGGCGGCGGCGGCGGCGGCGGCGGCTGCGACGACGACTGCGACGGCGACGGCGACGACGGCGACGACCGACGACGACGACGGCCCGACAACAACGACCGCCCGACGACGGCGGCTTCCGGCGGCGGCTCCCGCGAGGCTGTCCACCGTCGCGCCGAGCCGTCGGTCTTCTCGTGGCTCCAGGGGCTCGTCGGGCTTCTCGTGGCCCGGACGGGCGGCCCGCCGCCGCCTGCCGCCCCGGCGGCACGGGGCCGAAGTGGCCCTGCGGTGACCTCGTCGTCGTCTTGGCCTGAAGTCGGGCACGTCCCTCTACAGGAGGACTATTCAAGAATAGTCTGAAAATAGTCCAGGGACGATGTTTCTATTCTTGTTGACCATTTTTGATTTTTGTTTGTTCTGCTATTTTGCATTGTTCTTCCAAAATCTGCCTCTAGGGGGACATGCCTGACTTAATCTTGGCCGTGGTCTGGCGACGACGAGGATGGCCGTTCTTTCGCGTGCCCGCGCTCAGTCTTCGTCCTGGCTTGACGATGACCAGAACGTGACCGCGTTCCGTCGTAGCCCTGGCCTCCGCTGTCTGCCCCGCCGTCGGCGGAGGCCGGCCGGCAGCAGAACGGGAGAGGCCCTCCGCCGCCCGGTGGCCGGCTATGGCCGCAGTGTCCTCGTCGTCTTCGTCGTCGTCGTCGTCGTCGTCTTCGTCGTCGTCGTCTTCGTCGTCGTCTTCGTCGTCGTCGTCGTCGTCGTCGTCGTCGCCCCGAGGGTTTCGAAGACTTCCCAAGGTCGATCCTCTTCTTGCTCCCGCGCCTGTTACCCAGCGATCCGACGCTCCAACAGCATCGGAGCGGGCGGTTTTGGGCTGTGTTCGGCCTCTGGGTCAAGCAGTGGCGAAGCGTCCTGGCTCGCCTATAGCCCTACCAAACAATGTTCGAAGAAGCTTTTGTGGTTTCTACGACATGTTCTTAGAACATTGTTAGTTGAGATTGTCTTGTTTTAGCACATCGGGTTTATGTTCTAAGAACATTGTTTCTGTTATTAAAACAGTTTCGGGTTCTAAGAACATTTCGTGGTATGACTATAGGAATGCCGGGACGGTCGGTCCCTGCTCAACTGGGGGCCCTCCAGGCCTGGGGACCGTAACAAAAACTACTCAGGACGAAAGCTGGCCCTAGGGAAGTGGTCCAGGCCTCAGGGGCCCACGCATCATCAAACATTGGAGCAGCGGCACGCGGCATGCGGCCGTATGCGAGCGGCGCCGCGTCTTTTCGTCGCGCCGCAGGGTCCACCTCGATTCGATCGATCCGACACGATGTCAATTGTCGGAGGAGGAAAGGTACCCACACGGCTACCCTTCATTTGTTTTTCCCTTTTTCGAGCCGCTTGGGAGGCCCTCGTAGCCACCGCTGGATTCGCTTCGGTATCGGTACCTTTTGGTTTCCCCAGATCGATCCGATTCGATATCAATTTCGGCCTATTCGATCCGATCCGATGTCGGCCAGAAGTGTTCGACTATTCAGATGCACGGTGCCAACCGACGCCGTGCGAGATGTCATGGATCACGAGCTTATTATATCCCTTCTGAGTTGTATGCCCGAGTATTGCTTAGTAGCGGGAGTCACTCTTCAATATACCTGATCAAGGGAGATGCTACCAACAAAAATGTCGATGTCCTTGCGATCCGATGCGGCCCGAAGCTTGCAGGGCGCTGTGGTGCATCCTGGCGCTGCCGCTCCGATGCGATTGCGATTCCTTGCCGAGCCGGCCCGATCCGACTTGCATTTTCCGATTCTATCCGATTTCACGATGCGATGTTGGCTGATCTTACGCCGAACACTTCTAGGGAGGGTGGCGGGATCAGCTTCTTTCCAAGAGGGGTGGGTGGGTGACTTTGAGGGGGGGGGAGGAGGTTGGACACCACGGCCGGGGCTGGGAGATCCCCCAGATTCAGGAGGGAAAAAAACGCAGACACCATGAATCGTCGATTCCCCAGAAAATATGGACAAGTATGGGAAGTGGGGGGGAAGGCAAAAACCCATAAAATATGAGAAAAAATGGGGAATCCTGTTATCTGTGTGTGTATTTTTATGTGTGTCCTTGGGCCCCTTGGACAGCTGTCCTGGCCTCCGCCTCCTCGCTCTCTCTCGTCGCATCCCCTGGCCCCTCGTCCGTGCACCCGCCTCGGGCCAGGAGGCGCACCCCGCCCTCGGGCGCGCCCGACCACGCCTGGCTCGCGCGTGCCGCGAACGACTCGCGCTTGGGCGTTTTCGTCAGGGCTCGAGCTAAGTGTAAGTCGGGCGCGCCCCTCTACGGGAGGAGTGTTCAAAAATAGTCAAAAAATAATCAGGGGACGATTTTTTGTATTTTTGAGTCTGTCAGGAGCATTTTTTACAATTTTTCATTTGTCGTCCAAAATCCCCCTAAGGGGGACAGACCCGACCTGAGGCTAAACGGTGTTTTGCCGATTTCGTGGACCGTTTTCGCCTTGATTTCTTGTCGCAGCAGAGGCTAAAGGAAGACAGAGAAGGAAAACCAAGCTCGGTGTAAGGGTCAGAGGATCGGGCCGCATCGCCGATGAATCGGCGATGCGGTTCGATATGGAGACCGGTTTTACACACGCCGACGTCGCCGATGCATCGCCGACATCGGCGATGCATTCGCGATGCGGCGCAATCCTCTGACCCCATCTACTCGGACCCCACCTGGAAGGCCTCCAGCCAAGGTCCTGGTTGATCGGGGCCTCGATCCGCAGCCGTCGACGCCGCCGTCTGCTGTTATAGTTACTTTCTTTTCTCGAATGATTGTTCTTCCTGTTGTTATGACTATCGATGATTCGTGTTGTTAGTACGGACGTGCGCGTGCGATGCAGGGGCCCCAGGGCAACCGTGGAGTGGAGGGATCTATATCGCGACTACCTATGTATTTGGGGGAGAGACACTGCGTTGAAGGCGGAGACAATGGCAGTTCGCAGGCCTAGAGGTTGACACCAACACCAAGATCGGCGGTGTGCCCCCAGCGAGGGAAGAAGATCCCGATCTCGGTGACGGCGGTAACATTTTGGCTTCCAAGGTGACCGAAGCATTGCCACCAGCACCGAAATCTAGGATCCCCTTCCCCCTGTGGGGGCAACCCCTTGTCTTGGTGTTGGTGCCCATTTCTATCAGGAGGGGAAAAAACACACAGACACAATTAATCGTCGATCCCCAGGAAAATATGCGAAAATATGGGAATTGGGGGGGGAAGACAAAAACCCAGAAAATATGAGAAAATATGGGGAATATTTTTATTTGTGTGTATTTATTTGTGTGTTCTGGGGCCCCTTTATTCTAGACCTCCGAGCAGTGCGGCGGGCTGTGGAGTCCCTACAGGGTGCAGCGGCGTGCCGGGGGCAGCGGGAACTGCCGCTTGAGCAGAGCCTTCGCCGGTCTCCGCGGTCGGCAGGGGACAGGCGGGCCCGCCACGTAGCGAGTTTCCCTCCTTTTCCGCGGGAGTTGCCTTTTTTTTATTTGTTTTGTTTTTTTAATATATTTTTATATTGATTATATATATATATAAAGAGAGAGAGAGAGAGAGAGAGAGAGAGAAAAAAAAAAAAAAAAACTGTTCCGCGGGAGTTGCCCTGTGTGGGATAGCAAGCGCGTGCAACAAGACGGCCTCATGCAGCAGCGGAGCCTGTGTTTGTGACGGTGTGCTGGGTCGGGCGAGAGGGCGCACGACTCATTGGAGGCCCCAGCACCAGCGATGTGGCGGTGCAGTGCGGTATGCAGTGCAACGACGACTTTCCGTGCTGGGCCTGAGCGCGAGGGGGGAAGGATTTGCGAGAGAGCGTGCGATCTTCCCGCCGGCGCGCATTCTTAGCGGTATCACATAATTTGCTTGGCCTCTGGCTCAGAGGTAATCAAAATGACCAGCTATTATTCCTCGCCGTCGTGGTCGTTTGGCCGCCTTGCCGAGGGCCATGGCGGGAGGCCGTCGTCGCCGCCGCCGCCGTCATTGTCGCGACGACGAAGAGGATCGAGAACATGTTCTGACAATGACCTTTCCACGACGAAGAGGACGACGATTTTGTGTTTCCCTTCTCTCGTCGTCCTTTTCTGCGGCCCTCTGGGCCGCACCTCTCCGCCACGGCTTGGGCGCGTCTCCCAGTGCCCTTCGGCGCGCGTTCCAGGGGCCGACCTTTGAGGGGGTCGTCGTCCTGTCGCGTCCCCATCTGCCTCTTGGGATCTCTGTCCCCATCTCTCCTCTCTTGTTGCTCCTCCAAACCCCTCCTCATCTTATTCACCCCTATGGGTTAAGTATATGTTTATGTCTCTTTCTCTCGTCTTTTTCTCTCTGTCCTTTATCTGTGTTTTTTGTTCTCTCTCTCTCTCTCTCTTTCTCTCTCTCTCTCTCTCTCTCTCTCTCTCTCTCTCTCTCCCCCCCCCCGCTTTCTCATGGTTCGTTGTTTCTCTATTGGTGTATTGATATTGGCATGTCTGTGACATATACACTATAATCCCTTGTTACATCTCTCTCACTGTCTCTTTTTCCCTCTCTCTCTCTACCTCTCATTATCCCTCCCTCTCTCTCTCTCCCTCTCTCCCCCCCTCGTGCTCTCATTGCTTATTGTGTATATATTAATGTACCTATGTATAAACCCTTATTCGATATACATAAATATGTGTAGGCTTGGTTTTCTAAACTGTTTCGCGTGGAGCCCAAGAAGAATGGCGGGTCCAAGAAGTACAAGGCACCACTACGCACAATCGACTCACAACACTCCCGTGAGTCCGACAGCGCTTTTATCCTCAGGATGCAGCAAGAGCTAGGCAGCATGCTCAGCGACCTGCGGCGTGCACACTGTACCAAAACTTGCCTCGCTAACGCCGGCCGACCTTTGACCCAGCACTGCAGCCGCCAAGCGCGTGCCGGGTTTTCCTCGACGCCTGGAGGTTTGCAAACTACGACGTGTACCGCGCCGACCATATCCTGCGCGCCAAGACCTGCTTTCGCAGCCCAACTGACAGGCTCACGGCGATCAATAACGCCTCCAGTTCAGGAGCTGCCAGCAGCAGCGGGGCCGCCGCCTCCAGGTCCCACGCAGCGGGAGAGCACCCGAGCAAGGGGAAAGGCAAGACGAAGGACGCACCCGATTCACCGGGCAAAGCTGGGAAGAGGAACCGAGTAACCGAGAGCCCATGGAGTTCATGGCACGAGAAACGGTCTCGCCAGTAATATTGGGCGCGGGGCACCACCCAGTTTCGACGGGATACGGCTCTTTCATCACACCGGGTATGCGGTGCGCCATGCGACTACACTGCTAACTCGCTCTCGTGCGCTTGCTGCAGTTAGCCGCGTTCCCCTGCTTTCCCTTCCCTTCAGCCTCCATCGCAGTCACTGAGGCTCAATGTTGGCATCGGACTGGCAGCCCACCGTGTTTGCCCATGCCAAGCGTCCCATTGAAGAGCGCCCGCAATGCTTCATCGACTGCACCTCCCTGAGGGCTCTTGCAGTAACTACTGCGTGGCGAAACAACCACGCGTTGCCTACACCCGCTGGCGCATGAGGGATGGTGTGCTAGTTCAATGGAGGACTTCATCATCCGTGACCGCACACTATTTCGCGGCCGAAAGAGCCAAGCTTTTCCCAGGATTGCGTGTGAAGAACAATGGCGTACTGGTGCCAGTGGCGGGTTTACTGAGGTAAGCTTCGATACCGAGCGCCTGGCGTGCGCGTCAGTGTACACAGGGTTATGGTGAACTCTCCTCCTTTTTCTCCTTTTGCCTCGGCGGGTAGCTGACTCCCCTCCCCCTCTCCTGCGTCACTGGGATCATGTATTACACCGGGACTGGGTGGTGCGGTGCCTACTGGCTGCCTTCAGCCGGCGCCCCCCCCCTGCTGATGGCCGGAAGGGTTCAGTGGGCTCCGATGCTCGTGTCTCCTGTTTTCTTTTGCCGCAGCGGTTAGCTGCCGCAGCGGGTTGCCTACCGTGCCTGGCGTGCACTTCCCCTCTTCTCCTTCGCTTCACCGGGTTTATCCCACGCGGCTGGGGTCGCCGCCGATACTGCTGTCCGATGGTGTTCTGACAGCCTGAATTCCATGCAAGGCTCACACTGGGATGGGACGGTCAGGTGGCCCCTGACCTGCTCCTGTCAGGTGTCGGTCTCCACTGGTGACCGGGAGGGTTCCGCGAGGTGTCGCCTCGAATCCCATGCATGACCGCACTGGGGATGGGGGGCCAGGTGGCCTCTGGCCCGCTCCTGCTTGGTGTCAGCTTCTACTGGTGACCGTTTGGGTTCTGCGGGGTCTCGCTACGGTGTCGTCCATTTCGGCATGTGTGGCTCTGGGCGCCCGTCGGCTGCTTTCTCCTACATGGACCTCGCTCTCGACCTGTGCCACCGGGTGTACATACCGGAGGATCTGCAGTTTGCAGTCCTGTCTGTGACGAGGCTGCCCCCTCTTCACCCCGGCGCCGACACGATGCTGTTGTGTCACCGACGGCACGGATGTCACCCTGGAGTGCTTGTCGGACCTGCTCGTTTTCGTCGGGCCCTATGCCGACTCACACCGCGTGATCGACCTCTGCGTGTTCATGGTCGCGCCGCCGCGCCATTTTGGTTGCGCCTACTTGATGGTCGCCACCGGGATTTCCACGCCACCAGGTTAGGAGTGCCGCTCCTTGTGCTCCTTCTGGGTGGCTGCCCGCGCCTCGCTTCGCTTGCCCCTCTCTTTTCTTGCTGCCTAGTCGCGGCCCGGCTCGTGATCGGACGGCTTTCGACTTGCTTCGCGAGCCCGCAGACCAAAAAGTAACCCCACCTATCCAGCAACGATGGCCAGACGAGTAGCCTTGATGCGGGAAGTGGGGAGCATGCAGAGGAACAAAGGGCCAGGGAAACCGCCATACCCCAAGAGGAGGAGGAATCGGAGGGGGAGGAGGAGGAGGAAAACGACGACGAGGAACACGAGGGGAGGACGGAGGAGGGAGGAGACGGAATAGGCGGATGATTAGGAGGAGGAGGAGGAGGAGGAGGAGGAGGAAAATGTACGAGCAGAAGGGCCAGAGGCCTCTTGGGTGCGTCTCGGAGTCTCTTCGGATGTTTCTTGAGAGTTTCTTACAGGCATCTTGGGGCGTCTTGGGGGCCTCTTGGTGGTCCCGGGGGCCTCTTGGAGCGTCTTGGGTGTCTCGGTGGGCATCTTGGCCTCTTCGGGCCTCTTGGCGGCACCTTGAGAGCATAGTGGGGGCCTCCTGGGCGTTTCTTGGGGCCCTCTTGGGGCTCTTGGGAGCCCTGGAGGACCTCTTGAGGCTGTCGTGGAGGGTGTCGGAGAACAGAGGGGGGCTGGAACCGTCCTGTCGCCATCTTGGGGCCTCTAGGAGCAATGTTGTTTGTTATCTTGAGCCATGTAGGTCTGTCTTGAGCGATCTTGGAGGCCATCTCGGGCTCTCTGAGGCCCTCTTGGAGCCATCTCAGGCTATCTTGGACGCCATGACACCTCGCGACCCCCCCCCCCGTCCAGGTCCAGGGCTGGGGGGTGGGGAGGGGTCAAGACACCCTCCAGAGGGCAAGCCGTCTAGCTCACTCCCACCCGCCCTCCCAACACATCAGTCTCTCCCGAGCCTCAGCATGTTCAGCGGTCGTTTTCGGATGGACAGCTACTGGGAACCCAAACCGAGCCCATGTGCGCGACGCTGGGGCGAGGTGCGCCACGCGTGCCAGGCGCGCCACGCGCGCCGGGCATCCCTGGGGCCCGAGCGTGCCAGGCACGCCACGGGGGTTGAAGAGAACGGCCCTGGAGGGGCCCTTGAGGGCCCCTTTTGGAGCGAGCAAGGGCCAGGAGAGACCCCAAAGGGCCCCGCTGGGGCCCTTTTCTTCGCCCCCCAATTCTCTGTCACCCCACATCGGCGTCACCCTAACAGACTTATACTATATGTGCGTCGCCCCCCCAGGGTCGGCGCGCGCACTGAAACATCTCCTAGCATATGCGTCGCGGCGGGCGCTTCCTGGCCACACCGCTCGGGAAACGATGCACTACAAGCTGGGTATGCTATAATTATGATCGGGTCGGACGCGCGCCTCTGTGCGACCCACCCCCCGGGGACCACCCGCCCGAACCCCTGGGCGAAGGATTGCAATCCGTCGTTTTTGTTGCAATCCTGGGTTTTTTTGCAATCCTTCGTTTTTTTGCAATCCTTCGTTTTTTTTCAATCCTTCGTTTTTTTGCAATCCTGCCGCAGCCCCAGCGCCCTGTCGCTGGCCGCCGCCGCCGCCGCCCTCCGCCGCGGCCGCCCACGGCGGGCCGGGCCCCCCGCCGAGGACCGCCCGAGGGCGAGGCCCTGCCCCACGGCTTCCCCAGCAACGGCAGCCTCGGGCACCCGCACCTGTGCCGGCGGCCGTGCAAGGACGCCTGCGGCGGGCCGCCGCCGCCGATGGATCCCTCGAGGGGGGAGGCTCGGGCTTCGGGTCGGCTTCTTCCTCATCCTCGAGGTTCGAGGCTCGACCGATCGAGGGGAAGAGAGGTTCGAGGTTCGAGCTTCGAGCCGTAATTGTTGTCGGGTCGAAGCGGGTGTTTCCTCAGCCTCTTTCGGCCTCTGGCGGGCCGCCGCCGCCGATCGATCGATCGATCGAGGAGAGGTTCCTTCGCCGTGAGAGAAGCGGGTCCTGAGGAGGAAAAGGTACCCATACCGTTAAGTCGGGCGTGTCCTTCTCCAAAATCCCCCTGTAGGGGGACGCACCCGACTTAACCATACCGCTACCTTTTGCCCGTTTTCCCTTTTTCCGGCCTCCTGAGAGGCCATCGTGGCCACCGCTGGATTCGCCGCGAATGTTTGGTCAGAGCGCCCCCCAGGAGAGTTCTGGGGAGTAGCGGTAGCAGTACCTTCTGATTTCCCCAGTGGCAGCGGGTCCTGAGGGAATTTGGCCTTCGCTTTTTTTGCACGCTTCCCCCCTGCTAAATTGCTGATCGATCGATCGAGGAGAGGTTCTCCGAGGCGGGAATTGATACGTGACCACCGCCTGGAGGATCAATTCTCGGGGACCTCGGCAGGCGGTGGATATGGACATTTTCGGGCCCTGGGAGCCAAAATATATTCATATCCACCGCCCGCTGGGGCACCACGGTACATCTGGATAAATCCCCGCCTCGCAGGTTCGAGTTTCGAATCGGCTTTTCGTCGTTTTCGGTTCGAGTCTCGGTGGCGAGTGAGAGGGGGAAGTGAGAAGGAGAAGGCCCTCTCACCAGGCGGCGGGACTTCTGAGAAGCCGTCGGGCCTTCTGAGAAGTCTTCTGCGTCTCCGGGCAAGGCTTTGAAAACTTCTCAGAAGGCCGCGGGATTTCCGAGCCTTTTGAGAAGGCCCGCCCCTTTTCATTCCCCCCCGGGCTCGCCGCCGAAAAGAATTATCTTTGGGGAAGTGATCGGGTCCTCTGGGGCATGTCAGTGACACGCAGACACACACACACACACACACACACACACACACACACGCACACACACACACACGCACTTTTGCGTCGGCGGCTGGGCAGAGGGCGACTGCTCCAGCGGAAAGGCAACAGGGGACAAGCTGTGTGCAAATCAAGGCCGCGATGCACGGGAGGAGGAGGAGGAGGAGGAGGAGGAGGAGGAGCCCCGGCGCGACAGGAAGAGAGGAAGCCGGGCCACCCAGAGCTGTCGGCTGCGGCGGGGGGTGCACCGAGGGGGGGAGCAGTGTCGGGGCAGGGCTGCATTGGGATGCACTGGGCTGAGACACACACACACACACGCACTTTTTTGGTCGGCGGGGCGAGAGCGAACCTCTTCCGCCACACACACACACACACACACACTTTTTTGGTCGGCGGGGCGAGAGCGAACCTCTTCCGCCACACACACACACACACACACACACACGTCCCAAGCGTCTTTCTCCTCACAGTTCACTGCTGATGGGCCTGTTTTCCACCACCACCACCATAAGTTGGAGGGGGAAGGAGGTGGAGGACAAGGTGGAGGAGGAGGAGGAGGAGGAGGCGGAGGACGACGAAGAGGAGGAGGCGGAGGAGGAGGAGGACCCCCTCTCCCTCCAACTTATGGTGGTGGTGGTGGAAAACAGGCCCACCAACTGCGGCCCGTTGTGGTCACTGCAAGAGGCGGCCGCCGCCAAGACCCGGGCTCTCCCTCGGCCTCGGCCCGCGGAGGCCCGTTTCGGGCCCCCGGGGCCGTCAGGAGTCTTCCCGGGGGGGGGGGAGAAATTGCCCTCGGCGGTTCTTCGGGGGCGGAAAAGAGGGGGGTGATGACTAGGTGGGAGGGGACAAGGTGGAGGAGGAGGAGGAGGAGGAGGCGGAGGACGACGAAGAGGAGGAGGCGGAGGAGGAGGAGGACCCCCTCTCCCTCCAACTTATGGTGGTGGTGGTGGAAAACAGGCCCACCAACTGCGGCCCGTTGTGGTCACTGCAAGAGGCGGCCGCCGCCAAGACCCGGGCTCTCCCTCGGCCTCGGCCCGCGGAGGCCCGTTTCGGGCCCCCGGGGCCGTCAGGAGTCTTCCCGGGGGGGGGGGAGAAATTGCCCTCGGCGGTTCTTCGGGGGCGGAAAAGAGGGGGGTGATGACTAGGGGGGGGTGGATATCATGGCGAGGGCCATGATGTTTCCCCAGATTTCATGGCGCCTCTTCTTGTTTCATTACGTCCCTGGCCCCCCCGCTGGGCCGCGCACATGCCGCCGGTCATGATTTGCACCCCCCCCTCTTGGACACCCCCCTCTTGGCCGCCCCCGAGTTCTATGGGGGGATCTGGGGATCGATGTTCTGCGGATTTGGGCAGTCGTCGTCGGCGGCGTCGGTATCGGTATCGGCATCGCGTCTTCGTCGGCGCCGCCATCGTCCTCAGCTTCGTCGTCGTCGTCGTTCTCAGCTTCGTCGTCATCGTCGTCGCGGCGACCGTCGGTCGTCGGTCGGTCGTTGTTCGTTGATCGTAGGTCGTTGGTCGTCGGCCGCCGCCGCTGTCGTCGTCGTCGTAGCCGCTGCCTTCGCCGTCGTCGTCTTCGTCGTCCTTCTTCCATTCCTGCGTGTGTGCGGGAGCGGCGGCGACGCCGCCGCCCGAGGCGGCTGTGGCGACGGCGATGACGACGAAGACGAGGAGGATTGAGGATTTGTTGTGTTTTTGATCTGTTTGGACCCTCCAGGGTTCCACGGACATGTGTCTGGTCGGAAAACATGTTGTGTTTCCCTCGTGATTGAGCAAGGCGAGATTATATTTCAAATGGCGGTTTTCTGGCCATGTCATAGCACAGCTGCGGTACCGTTGATTTTGAAACATATTCAATACAATCGTCGCGTTGCCAAATTGTTAAATATCTGTCGCGGCTCCCCGCCTTTCCGCCGGTTTCTCATATTGTTAGGATGTCCGAATTCTTGTTGTATGGCATATTGGTTTTCGCTACATAACTGTACGTATATGTACAACATGTGTTAGCCAGCGTGGACCCCAACCATTGTGTGTCCAGCAATATATGTTGTGCAATCGATGTGGTGCAGTATCTGTGGTGCAATATATATATATATATATATATATATATATGTGGTGCGACCTATGGTGTGCAGTATGTGTTGTGTTAGCTATGGTGTAAGATTTATGGCGTGCAATATGTGTGGTGCAACAGATGCTGTGATATATATGGTGTGCGACCTGTGTTGTGCAACAGATGTGTGCAATCTATGTAGTGCGCAAACCATGGTGCAGCATCTGTGGTGCACTTTATTATGCTGTGCGATCTATGTGGCGCAATCTACGTGCTGCAGTCTATGATGCGCGATCTATGGAATGCAATCTACGTGGTGCAATCTATGTGGCGCAATTAATTTCTGTTCGCAGTGAGTTGTCCACTCCACTGCTCGCGCAAACATCCCACCCACCCACCCGCAACCTGATTTGAAAACCTCATGCGGCGGCGATTGCGATGAATGCTTGGCGCTGGCAGGTGCATCTGCGGCCGCGCCAGCCCGCGCATGCGCGCGCGCAGCAGCCAGGTAGTTTAGCTCGACCGACGCGGCCGCAGTGGTGCTGACCGCTCGGCACATCCAGGCGGGCACTTGGGTGCGAGTCGGTGACTTGGGCGGGCGCGGTATCATGGCAACGTCGACAAGTGTAGACGCGGTGATGATGATAGTAGCGATGTTGGTGACGATGATGGCAGCGACGACGGCACGGCCAGTGACGGCGCCGATTCCGATCACGCCGACGACGATGACGGCGTCTTCGCGTCGGTGATGAAGGTTTTGAAAGGAATTCGAAATGCGCGCGCGGCGGACGCGCGAGACTGGCTCGCATGGTATAATTTGACACGGATCGTGCCACCCCAGCACGCGCGCAAGGGCGTTCGAACGATTTCGACATGCGCGCGCGAAGCCCGTTTGGTAACATTTTTGACCATGTTGAAAACTCACGGTCGTCTTAAGAATTCGCAAGAGCGCGCGCGCACGCTTTAGTTGAACATCTGTGTTGCGAAACCATGTGTCTTTCTATGTTTGTGTGACACTCGATTTTGACATCCTTCCGAAACCGGAGGTTTTTGAAGGATTCCGGCATGCGCGCGCGACGACGCGCGCGTGAATTTCGTTTCATTGGTTGCAGAGGGTTCTCGCGACGGCACGCGCGCGAAGGCGTTCGAACGATTTTGACACGCGCGCGCGAAGCCCGTTTGGTAGAATTTTTTGAAGATGCTGAAACTCTTGATTGTCTTAAGAATTCGCAAGGGCGCGCGCATGTTTTTGTTTGAGAACCCGCGTTGCGAAACATGGTTGTTCGAAACAAATGTTGTTTGGACATTCGGTTTTGAAATCTCTCCGATACCGAAGGTTTTTGAAGGATTTCGGCATGCGCGCGCGACGACGCGCGCGTGTCCATTTCGTCAAGGTTGTTTGGAACATATATTTAAGGTTATTCTTGGAAGTTTATGATGTTTGATAAACGAGTGCGCGCGCCCAGTATTCTGTTGCAGAGGATGGAGGGGGGTGGCAATACGGGCCAGGTTGGGATAGTAGGGATTCACAGGTAGGATGGACATTACGTCAGAGTCCGATGTTGCATCGGTTACCGTGGGGTCTTTAACCCCGTTGGGGGGGAGGGTGGTAGAACTTGTTTTTTTGTTCCAAAAAAATGGAAAGTCTACGTGTTGCATTCCACTGTTTTGCAATCCATTTGGCGCAGCAAGTATGCGAGGCCGCGACGGGGCGGCGACGGCGAGAATACCTATACGACCACCCTTCGGGTGACAAGGAGGTTGTGGGGGGGAGGGGAGAACCAACATCTTACTCAATCGATCTCACTATCGATCTCACTCAACTGGACACCACGGGACACTTGTCGATCTCACTATCGGTACCACTCAACGGAACACCAGGGGGCACCACGAAACACCTCTCGATCTCATTATCGGTGTCACGATCGATGTCACGATCGATCTCCGTCAACGGGACACCATAGGACACCACGGGACACCGCGGGACATTTCGGCACACCACAACGATCTCACGATCGATCTCGCTATCGATCTCATTCAACGGGACACCACGGGACACCACGGGACACCTGTCGATCTCACTATCGATCTCATTTTTTGGGGCACCACGGGACACCTCGGGGCACCACATCGATCTCAGTATCGATCTCACTATCGATCTCACCCATTGGGACGCCACGGGACACCTGTCGATCTCATTATCGATTTCACTATCGATTTCATTTTTTGGTACACCACGGGACACCTCGGGGCACCACATCGATTTCAATGTCGATCTCACGATCGATCTCTCTATCTATATCACTCAACGGGACACCGCGAGCCACCGCCGAACGGACGGACGGGCGGGCTGGGGAGAATCATTTGTCTTGACTTCGCCTCAGCAACGGCGCACACCACGGGACACCACGGGACACCGCGGGACATCGCGAGCCACCGCCGGAAAGGCGGGAGGGGGAAAATCATATGTCTTGATTTCGCCCTAGCAGCGGCGGACACCACGGGACACCACGGGACACCACGGGACACCACGGGACACCACGGGACACCGCGGGTCACCGCGGGTCACCGCGGGTCACCGCCGCACGGGCGCGAGGGGGAGAATCACTTGTCTTGATTTCGCCCTAGCAACGGCGGGTTCATTCCTCTCGCGCGCCCACGCAGCTTCGCCTCGCCCGCGCGCACGACACGAACGAAGCGAAACGATTTCCCAGTTGGGGGTCTCCGTTCCACTTCGATCTCACCCCCCCAATCCCCGATAACCGCCAGACCCGCAATCAGGGGCGGCGACCAGGCGGCCACGGGGCGGCGACGGCAGGCACGGAGCCGCCAGACGGACAAACAGGCCCACACGACGGGTGCCGAGGCGGCCACGGGGCGGCGACGGCGAGCACAGAGCCACCAGACCGACATTCCGGCCCAGACGACGGGTGGCGACGAGGAGGCGACAGGACGGCGACGGCGAGCACGGAGCCGCCAGACCGACATTCAGGGCCACTTCCTAAGAAGGGAAGTAAGAACCCCGAAGTGCAAGCACTGGTTGGGGAAAGTTGGGAAACATCTTGAAACATGATGACAAACTCAAATCTGCAATTGCAGAACGTGAGGTTGCCATCGTGCCCTTGCTGAAGGCATGAGAACCACACATACTTGAATAATGTTATGTTCATGCGACTGTGGAAACACAAAGCGTCTACTTGCGCTTTTGTTCAAGCAGATGGAAAAGAAGCGCTTTCGCTGAACGGGTGGCGGAAGAATCGGCACCGCACATTTTTGAACATGAAAGATACACTTCCGACAACATATTTGTTTGCACTCTGGGTTTCTGACTTGGTCTCTGAGGTAACCGAGCCTGAGCGCGGGTCCGGCTGGCTCGTCGCCACCTGTCGCCGCCGTCGTCGCCGTTGCCATCTGGGCTCGACCGGCTCGTCGCCGCCCGTCGCCGCGGCTGCCGCTGGATCTGCAACCGTATTGCATTGCTTTGCATTCCTTTTGCAATGTTTTACGCTCCTTTGCGCTGGTTTGCACTGCTCTGCACAGCCTGGCACTGCTTTGCACTTTTTGTTGCACTTTTCTGCACTGCTTTGCATTGCTTTGCACAGCTTGGCATTGCTTGGCAGTGCTTTTTCATTGCTCGACGTTGCTTGGCAGTGCTTGGCAGTGCTTGGCATTGCTGTCCCTCGTTTTACATTGTTTTGCATTGGTTTGCATTGCTTGGTATTGTTTTTCACTGCGTTGCATCAAGTGCTTGGCATTTTGTTGCATTGCACGGTATTGCTTCCCACAGCATAGATTGCACAATATTGATTGCACCACCTGGAATGCATCACACTGATTGCACCAGCTAGATTGAACCGCATATATTGTAGGAACCGCTGCTTGGGGTCCACGCTAGCATGGTTGTATTAGAGTTTGGTTCTGAATTGCTCAGAAGCTAGCTCCCGACACTCACCAGAATTGAAAAGCACAGCGCTTAATTTAGAACAGACAAAGGAGTCTTGGTGATTCTTGAAAAGAAATAGCAAAATAAAGCAACCATGTATATTCGAGCGTTATAGAAACCATACTCGAAATGAATACGAAGAATCCAAGTCGAATCCAAAAAGAAAATAATAGTACAAGTGGAATCACATCGGAATTGTGGGGGATCATTTGAATTCTAGACGGTCCGCGTAACCCCACCAGTGGTTGCGCCCCGTCGTTTTAGGTTAATTCGTCGTTGCGTGCCCCGCTTTGACTGGACCCGCCGCTGGCGCACTCGTCTACGGCCGCTGACTAAAAAGTAACCCCACCAGCCCATCCAGAAACGATGCCCAGAGGAATTGCCTCGATCAGGGAAGTGGGCAGCACACAGAGGAAGGGTCCCCCAGTGGAGGCCTCTGGGAGCGTCTTGGGGGCCTCTTGGCGGTCCAGGACGCCTCTTAGAGCGTCTTGGATGCTTCGGAGAGCTTCTTGGGACCTCTTGGGGGTCTCTTGGGAGCCTCTTGGAGGCCTCTTGGGCGCCTGTTGGAGCCTCCCGGGGCCTCCTGGGCGCCTCTTGGGGCCCTCCTGAAGCGCTCTTGGGAGCATTGGGAGCGCTCTTGGAGCCATCTTGGAGCCATTTTGAGGCTTCGGATGGCCATCTGAATCGAAGAACAGGCGAGAAAGCCAAAAACATTGATTTCCCAACTTCGGGGCCTCCTGGGGGAGCTCTTTGGCCACTTGGAGCCGTCTTGGAGCGGTCTTGGGGCCTCTTGGGGCATCGTGGGAGCCATCTTGGGATATCTTGAGCCATCTTGGAGGTCATCTTGGGCTCTCCCAGGCGCTCTTGGAGTCATCTTAAGCAGCGCCCCCCCCCAGGAGGCCAAAGTGTGGCCAAAACCTTAGTCACATCAATGATTTTGGCATTGTCGCCGAGGCCTCTTGGAGTGTCTTGGGTGCCTCCGGGGGACCTCTTGGGGCCTCTTGGGGGTCTCTTCGGAGCCTCTTGGGGGCATCCTGGGTGCTGCTTGGGGGCCTCTCGGGGCCTCCTGGCCACCTCTGGGGGCCCTCTTGGGGCACCCTTGGCAGCCTTGGGAGCGCTCGTGGGGCCATCTCGGAGGAGATCGATCAAAGAAGGGGGGGTCCTTAATTAGCGTTGCCCCCCCCCCCCAAGAGGCCAAAATGGGGCCAAAACTAGAGTAAAACAATTGATTTGGGCTTCCTCGCCGAGGCCGTTTTGGACGCTCCGACGACTCGCGGAACGCCCCGTCCAGGTCGGTAGGGGGAGGGGTAAGCCCCTCCCCGAAGTGGAAGAAGGGGGTGGAAGAGGAAACACCCTAAATCACCTACGACCTGAAGGGCTGGTGGGACTTCCCTGGGTTTGGGATCTTCCCCATCGTAAACAGGTGCTCTTCTCACTTATCGATCGTCCGACAAAGGAATCTTCATATACATATATACATAGTACGGAGAGAGAGAGAGAAAGAGAGGGAGGGACAACTGGGTTTGGGATCTTCCCCATCGTAAACAGGTGCTCTTCTCACTTATCGATCGTCCGACAACGGAATCTTCATATACATATATACATAGTACGGAGAGAGAGAGAGAGAGGGAGAGACAACGGACAGGAAGCTGGAGAAATAGAGGGAGAGGGAGAGAAAGCAGGAACACATGCATACACAAGCCACAGACTCAAAGGTGCCACCCTTGCACCTCCAGCCCCATCCTCCTCAAGGAGAAAGAGAGATAGAGAGAGAGAGAGAGAGACCCGAGGGCGACAACGACGTCGACGACGACGACGACGATGGCGGTATCGTCGACGGCACCATATCCAGCGGGGGCGCGCGCGGGAGCAGGAGAATTGGAGACGACGACATCGCCGACGACGGCGGCGGCGACGACGACGACTGCCGAAATCCGCTCAAAGTCGATCTCCAGACCCCTCTCCAGAGAGCCACCGTGGGCACTTTTTCATCCTCCTCCTCCTCCTCCCTCCTCCTCCTCCGTCCTCCTCCCTCCTCCCTCCTCCTCCTCCTCCTCCTCCTCCTCCTCCTCCTCCTCCTCCTCCTCCTCCTCCTCCTCCTCCTCCTCCCTCCTCCTCCTCATCACTTTTTCTCCAGAGAGCCACCGGAGCGATGCCTCACGGCCCCGGGGCCCGAGGCGGGCCTGCACAGGCCGAGAGTGGCGCAGGACGTTTGCGAGAGCCTCGGGCCTCTTCTTCGATTGGCCAACGTCGGCTCCTCCTCCTCCTCCTCCTCCTCCTCCTCCTCCTCCTCCTCCTCCTCCTCCTCCTCCCCCTCCTCCCCCGAAGGACGGAAGGCGGGAAGGACGGACGGAAGGAAGAACGGACGGCGTTGGAATCCCGCCGCCGCCGCCGATACTACAGGGCCCTTTTTGATCCAATCCGATACTACATTCGGCCAAGTCGTATCGATTTCGGCTTTCCAGAGATCCGATGCGGCCCGATGCTTGCATGGCGCTGTTGTGCAGCCTGGCGCGGCCGATCCGATCCGATTTCGATTCCGTGCCGATCCAACCCGATCCGATGATTTTAATATTGCGATCCGATCCGATCTCCCGATTCGATGTTGGCTGATCTTGCGATGACGCGCAGCGGCCGGCGGTGAGGATGCCGCGTCCTGCCGCGCCAGCTGCTCGTTCTGCCACCTCCCCCACGAGGCCGCTCTGCCCGGGGCCGGGCCAGCCGGCCGCCCGGTGGGCCGCCCCCTGGAGCGGCGAGGAGTCTCAAGGTCCTCGGTTCGAGGAGGAGGAGGACGACGAGGAGGAGGAGGAGGATCAAGACAAGGAGAAGCTTCGGGGGGAAGGGTGAGGAGGAGGAGGAGGAGGAGGAGGAGAAAGAGGAGGCGGAGGAGCTGGAGGAGGAGGAGGAGGAGGAGGAGGACGACGACGACGACGACAACCAGTTGAAACCTAAGACTCATCAACAGTGTTGGAACACACCCTCCCTCCAAGCTCCCTCTTCATGGGCCCTTACACTGATCAGTTTCCACTGTGGGAAGCGCCCCGTTGGGAGACAAGCGTGTGAAAATCCTGGAGCGTGCTAAAACACCATTGTAGGGACTTCAACGCCACGAGTCAACCTGACTTCTGTTGCGTCTTGACGGTCCTGATTCGTGCCAGAACACAATTCCTCGGACTCCACCGCGAATCAACCTGTTGCGCCCTCACAGTCCTGAATCGCTCCAGAACGTTAACCATGAGAATCCGTGAAAACTCTTGCACACGTTTGAAGCGAATGTGTGTGGCGCTAACGCGAGAGCCACCGTTTGAAAAGGAACCGCCCTCACTACGTGACACTCTTCAAATTTGTGAAGACGAATGTGCGCGGCGCTAAGGCGAGAGCCACACGTTGAGCACTACCTGTGTTCAATCCGTGCAACTCTTGCAGTCCTTTTCAAAGAATGCGCGCGGTGCTAAGGCGAGGGCCACCGTTTGACAAGGAACCGCCCTCACTACGTGAAATTCTTCACATCTGTTAAGACGAATGTGCGCGGCGCTGGCGAGAGCCACATGTGCGCGGTGCTATGGCGAGAGCCACGGTTTGAAATGGAACCGCCCTCACTACGTGAAATTCTTTCAGTTGCAAGACGAACGCGCGGGCGCTAAGGCGCGAGCCACATTCCGAAAACCACCTGTCCTCGATCCGTGAAGCTGTCGCAAAGTGGTAAGACGATTGCGCGCGGCGCTAAGGCGAGAGCCACATTTTGAAAACAACCCGCCCTCCATCTGTGAAACGTTTGGCAGCTTTCTAAGGTTCAGGCTCATACATGGTAAGGAAGTCTCGGGCGATACGCTCAGCCTGCCCTTCCGACTGGCCTCGGGGTGCGACAGGGAGGAGTTTTGTCCAATGAGGAGGAGCGCGAGGACAAGGCAAAGGGAGAAAGAGGGGGGTGTGGAAGAGGAGGAGAAGGAGGAGGACGAAGAAGACGACGACGACGACGACGGCGACGACGAAGAAGAAGACGAAGACGACGCGGACGACGACGACATCGACGACGACGACGACGGCGACGACGACGACGACGACGGCGACGACGACGACGAGGAGAAGGGACAGCATGGGGGGAGGTGGGTCGGACGAAAAAGATGACCAGCGGCAGAGTTGCGGAAGAGGAGCAGGAGAGGACGACGACGACGACGAGTAGGGGCCGGGACGAGTGATGAGGAGGAGGAGAATGATGAGGAGGGTCTGAGAGTGACGAGGATCGAGGGTCGAGAAGCGAGGATCTAGGACAGGGGATCGAGGATTGAGTTTGCAATGCGTTTTTACCAGGTGTAAATCTGGCAGGATTCTCGTCGCCACGACTGCATCGGCTTTGAAATTATGTTCAAGGCGCACCCCCGAGGGGTCCAGGGAGCGATGTTTCAAGAGTAGGGAGGGGATGCAGATGTTGTGGTGGTGCCAAGTGTGGTTGCTCAGAGGCCACAGACTCGACGATGTCCGCGGTTCGGTCGGTTCGGCTGCGTCGCAGTCGGTTGCATTCAGTTCGGTGCGGTCGGCCAGGCGCTGTCGCTTCGGTCGGTGATCGGCTGTGGCTTCGTCATGGACGGCCTTGGCGCTTTCGCCGTGGACTGCCGTGACCACCAGTGTCCCAGTCCTTGGCAGGTCCTGTGGGGCTCCGACTCGGACGCACAGGCGTGCACTGGTCGGGCACCCAGAGCGAGGCCTCCGACTCCTGGCCAGGCGCGTCTGGGATCTTGGGCAGGCGGGCCCGCTGCCCGAGGCCTCCAGGGACACCCAGAGGCCTCCAGGGGACCTACAGGGACGGACCTCCAGAGACCTCCAGCGACTTCTGGGGGGCGACGACGACGACGACGACGACGACGACGACGACGACGAAGGGAGAGGACGAGGGGGTTGGTAGGAGGAGGAGGAGGAGGAGGAGGAGGAGGAGGAGGAGGAGGAGGAGGAGGAGGGGAGGAGGAGGGCCGACTGCCTGCTTACGCAAGCAGCATGACCTTGGGCAGCTCAGGGTGCTCTCCGTTCAGCAAGCCGGTCCAGAATCAAAAATCGGCGGCGAGCCGGGGGGCGAGTGAGAACGAGAAGGGCTTCATTCAGGAGCGAAAGAAGGACGTACACGTACATCCACGTTGTTTTCGAGAGTACGCATTGCGCAAACGTTCGTATCACGCGGTCGGTCTCGCGGATTGGGGTGCCGTGTTTATGTACGTGATTGGGCGCGTACGTTCTTTGTGGGCTCCCTATTCTCAGAAGGCCTTCTGAGAAGTTCTCTGAGCCTTCCCTGAAGACACCGAACATGACTCAGAAGGCGCGAGGGTTTCTGAGAAGTACCGCCGCCTTCTGGCAAGGCTTTCTTCCTTTTCACTTCCCCCCTCGCTCGCCGCCGAAAGAAACGAATGTGGAGGCGGGTCTCTGGATGGGACACTCTCTCACATTCTTCGATGATGAGGAGGAGGAGGAGGAGGAGGGGGGGGATGGGGGGGAGGAGGGAGGAGGAGGAGGAGGAGGGGAGGGAGGGGGAGGGGAGGGGGAGGGGAGGGGGGGGGGGGGGTGGATGAGGAGGGATGGGGAGGGGAGGGGAGGAGGGGGAGGGGAGGAGGGGGGTCGAGACGAGGAGGAGAAGGCAGAGCTGGGGAGCGAGGGCGCCCCACGGGGCGAGTTGTCGATAGGACAGCCCTGGGTGCGGGGTGGGGGGGCTCTCGTCGCCATCGGCGTCGTCGTCGCCGTCGTCTCGGTCGTTCTCACCGTTGCCATCAGTCATCGTCTTTGTCGCCATCGTCTGTCGCTGTCATCGTCTTCATCATCGGAGGCGGCGGAGGAAGGAGGAAGGAGGAAGGATGATGGAGAGGAGGAGTAATAGGAGGAGTAGTAGGAGGAGGAGGAGGACGAGGGCGAACGAGGAAGGAGCAGGAGAAGGAAGGGAGCCAGGAGGGGGGAGGGAAGATAAAGAGGTGAAGGCCCTCCTCCTTCACAAAGAGGAGGAGGAGGAGGAGCAGGAGCAGGAGCAGGAGGATGATGAAGAAGATGGAAGAGGGAAGAGCAAGGGATGGAGGGAGGAAGAGAAGTAAGGAGAAAGAGAAAGAGAAAGAGAAGGAGGAGGAGGAGGAGGAGGACGACGACGACGAGAGGTGGGTGAGGTGGACCCCTCATCATCATCCTCCCCTCCTCCTCTCCTCCTCCCTCCCGGATCCTCCATCCATCCTCCATCCCTCCCCCCTTTTCTCCCCCCCAGACACCCGATGGAGGGGTGATGTTTGTCAATCCGCGGCCCCAAAGGTCTCGACCCTTCTCCCAGGGGTCTCAGTTTTGATACCCCGGGGGGTCAAAATGGCCCTGGAGGCCGACATGGAAGAACACCGCCCGGGCTGGGAAAAAACATGGTCGGAGATCGGAGGAGGAGAGGAGACTGGACACCCCAGAGGAGATCGCCGGGTGTCCGATCCCCTCTCTTCAGATCTGTATTGTGTTACCATATACAGACATACGTACATGAAGCATGTGTGTAACAGTACCGCTATGTGTGTATGTATATGAACATATACACATACACATACTTGTAGCAACTGTATACAACGAACAAGCCACCGAACAAAAGAAAAGCAACAAAGACAATTCAACCACAGCAAAGAAAAACAGAGCTTTGGGCCCCCTCCTCCTCCTCCTCCTCCTCCTCCTCCTCCTCCTCCTCCTCCTCCTCCTCTGCTGACCGCCCTGGCCCCCCCGCGGAGGGGCCGCTCCCCCAACCCCACCCCCGCTGCGCGCGAGGCCCGGCGGCCGCAGCTCGACAAGATCAACCGGCTGACCCTGCGCCTCGTGGACCGGCACGCCCTGATCGAGGCGCCCCGCCTCGTCGGGGGCGGCAAAGAGGGGGGTGATGACTAGTCAGAGCCCCGAATCATCAGGGGTAACTCGGGTCAGGGATAACTCGGGTTCCTTTCTCGGGAATCCAAACCCGAGTTACCCCGGACCCGAGTTACCCCGGATGAATCGGGCGTCCAAGAGCCCCGAATCATCAGGGGTAACTCGGGTCAGGGATAACTCGGGTTCCTTTTTCGGGAATCCAAACCCGAGTTACCCCGGACCCGAGTTACCCCGGATAACTCGGGCGCCCAAACTAGGGGGGGGGGAGATCATGGCGTGGGCCACGATATTTGCTCAGATTTCATGGCGCCCCTTCTGAGTTCATAACGTTCCTGGGCCTCCCACCCCCTGGGCCGCGCACATGCCGCCGGCCATGATTTCCGCCCCCCCCTCTTGGCCGCCCCCTCTTGGCCGCCCCCGATCTCGGCGGGAGCCTCGAGACTCGGGACGATGACACTCGACTTAAGTCGGGCCTGTCCCACTACAGGGGGGATATTCAAAAATAGTCGAAAAATAGTCTGGGGACGATGTTTTGACTATTTTTGAGCATTTGGGGGGTACTTTTTTGGGGGGGGGTTTTATTTTTCGCCCAAAATCCCCCTGTAGGGGGACATGCCCGACTTGACACTCGACCCCAGGGCCCGATCCAGATGATGAGGTGCGGCAAGGATTGGGGTGAATCCTGCACGGGAGCCAGAAGCTGCATCATGAAGTGCCCTCGGGTCCTCCTCCTCCTCCTCCTCCTCCTCCTCCTCCTCCTCCTCCTCCTACGATGCGTCACCCGCGATCAAGATGGGAACGGAAAGAATTGGTGCAAAGCTCGCTGGCGGTGTCGCCGCGACCTGTGTCCCTTTGAAACAGAAGACCGCCTGCCCATCAGCGGCCGCTCTTGGTTTGGGACAACATTTGTTGTTGTGCATTGTACCCCTTTTTCTCGTACCCATCTCGGGCGTCCAAAGAGACGGTAGGGGGGGCAATAGGCATAGGGAGGGGTGATTCGACACCCAATCGTCTCTTCTCATCGCCAACAACGGGGGCCTGATAGCCCCACCCCGCCCACGGGCGTGGGTACTTGCTATCGGGGGCCTCTCGCCGATCTGTCGGCGATGCATCGCCGATTCCAGGTCGGCGTTCCCCCCTCCCTATGCCGGTCCCCCTCTATCGTTGCCCCTCACTTCTGGACGCCCGACATGGGCACCGAAAGAATGGGTACAACGCCCAACAGCAGTTCCTGTTCATTTTGAGCAGGGCTCGCTGTCCGCGCCGCCGCGGCCTGTGTCCATTCGAGACAGAAGGCCGCCTGTCCAACAGCGGCCGCTGTTGGTTTGTACCCATTCTTTCGGTACCCATTTCGGGTGTCCAAATCACTCGAGACGGGAGCCCAGAGATCCGACGAGAGAGACCGACCAGTGGTCAGTGCAAAGGGTCAGTGCAGGGGCCAGGGGTCAGTGCAAACGGCCCAGAGATCCGACGCTCCAAGAGAATTGGAGCGGGGGGGGGGGTGGGGCTGTTTTCGGCCTCCACGGGGCCCTCGCCCGGGCTCAGGACCGTCAGGCAAATACTCAAGACGAAAAACTGGGCCAGACCTCCAGGGCCCTCCGGGGGCCCACGCATCAGAAAAAAGGAAAGGGGAGCGGCCAGATGTCTGCAGAGCCAAGGGCGCGATTCTGCAGGATCTTGCAAGGCCTGGCTGAGATCCTGCAGGTTCCTGCAGGATCTTGCAAGGCCCGACTGACCCAGATTTGCATTGGCCCGGGTCAGTAGATCCCCGATCTCGCGGGGGCGGCGCCCGCGAGGTGGGCGACGGCGAAAGGAAATTCTTTTTCGAAGTTTTCCGCCCCAAGATGACGCCCGAGACCGCCAGCAGGCCCCCAAAAAGCCAAATGAGGCCCAAATGAGGCCCCGAGAGGCCCCCAGATTGCCCCCGAGAGACCCCGAACAGGGCCCAGAGAGGGCCCAGGAGGACCCTAAAACGGCCCAAGAGGCCCGCAAGGCCAGACATGCTCGCGTCGTGAAAAATCACGACGGGAGGTTTTTTGCTAGTCTCTGCCTCTGGGGGCCCTCACCGGGCCTCGGGGCAGTCAACAAACGGCTCAGGATGAAAAGCTGGTCCCCAGGAAGGGGTCCAGACCTCTGGTGGTCCACGTCATGAGAAAATCACGACGTCGGGGTTGGGGGGGAGGAGGAAAAGGTACCGATACCATTACCCTTGCCTCGTTTATCGCCTTCTTGGGCCTCCTGGCAAGCCCTCGTCGCCACGGGCTGGATTCGCGTCGGGAGTCTGGCCAGATCGCACCTGGAGAGAGGTCGGAGAGTAGCGGTAAGTATGGGTACCTTTTCTGTTAACCCAGCGGTGACGGCGAGGAAGGAAGGACAAGGGGGAGGAGAGGAGGATACGGCCTTTCCCTAACCCCTCCTCGTCTTCCCTGCCCCCATCAAGCGATGACTCACCAACGATGTTGCAATAAGCCCTCCCTCGCGATCGTGTTCTTATTCCTTGTTTTGCCGATCGGCGCGGGCCCCAAAACCCCCCTCCCCCCCTCTGGAGTAGATCTTGGCTGTTTTTTGGCGCCTGTTTCGAGCGGGTGGAGTCTCCCCCAGAGGCTGTATTCTTGCAAACAGTCGCACTAAGCAGATGTCTGGAGCCAAACGCTCACCTCCAAGTCTCCTCTGCATAGGTCCCTGCAAGAAATCGCTTTGATTGCGGAAAGTGGTATACTAGAAGATAACCGTTTGAGAATCTTTTTCGTGCCAAACGCTACCTTCGGATCTCAACTCCGCGGATCAACGTGATGTTTGTGTCTTGACAATTTTAGATCGCGCCAGAACACCATTCCTGGGACTTCAACACAGGGAATCAACGTGACGGCTGCGTCCTGACAACCCTAACTCGTCCAAGAACACCACTCCGGGAACATCATCCGAATCGTTGAAATTGTTGCAACATGTTAGGACGAATATGCGCGGCGCTGGGGTGAGAGCGACATTATGAAAAGGAACCGCCCTCCAGTCTTGAAACAGCTGCCAACTTTCAAGACGAATGTGCGCGGCGCTGAAGCAAGAACCCTCAAAAAGGACCTGCCCTCCATCCGCGGAAGCATTTGAAGTTGTTAAGACGAATGTGCGTGGCGCTGAGGCGAGAGCCATATTTTGAAAAGGAACCGCCCTCCACCCGTCAAGCTCTAGCAAATTTTGAGGACGAATGCGCGCGGCGCTAAGACGAGAGCCACATTTTGAAAAGGACCCCCCCTCCATCCTTGAAGCTGCAGCACACTTTTCAGGCGCATGCGCTCGGCCCTATGGCGAGAGCTACAGGTTGAAAAGCATTTACCTCCATTCATCAAATGCCGCATGTGCGCGGCGCTAAGGCGAGAACCACAACCACGGGTGAAGCCTCGGCACGCCCCGTACAACCACATGACAACCGTGGGACAACCCAGGGCACGCCCCAGGAAGCGACTCATGTCGGTTTGGGCCTAAATCATCGAGGATACAAAAACCTTTAATCCTAATAACACAGTGAAGACGTGGCCTCACTGAGGTCCCGTCCTTGCATTTGGGATAATAAGTCTCGGCGGTTTGCCCCAATACATCTGGAGAAAACACTCCTTACCAGGTCCACTCGCTAAGGATTAGGGACCTTTTTCATCCGAATCACTGAACTCACGCAGTTTCGCCTCGCACGTTCGTCACGCACGACACGAACCGAAGCCGACTTCCTGGTCGGGGGGCTCCGTTCCTCTTCGGCCTCACCACCCTAACCTCTGACCAGACAGCACGTGGCATCCTACTTGCCATGCCCCCCCCCCTCTCTCCGCCGGCGACGATCACAACGACGATAACGATCACGACGATGACGACGATCACATGGACGGCGGCGGCGACGATCGAAAACAACTTGTTTTGATCCGCGGGTCGAGAGCGAGACTCTTCCGGTCGAAGCTAAGCGGGCCGCGCACAGCTTTAATTGACAGAGTGGGGTAGGCAGAAGGAAGGGCCTCATGTCAAGGCCAAGAGAGGGCAAAGCCCCGGAATCAGGCGGTGCCGAAGGCGATGTGCATGCAAAGGAGCGCCTTGCACAGGAACCCGAGGCGAAGTACCGGAAAAGCAAAATGCGGTGGTGGTGGTGCCGTCAGCGGTGCTTCACGTGAAACGATCGAAAACAAAAAAACAAAAAAAAAAAATCAACAAAAAAAAAAAAAAAACATAATAATAGACTTTCGGTGGGCCGCGCGGATTTCTTGGATCCGCGCCTGGGACCCCCCTGGCGGCGCCTCTGGCGCCGCCCGTGGCGTGCTCCGCGCGCCAGGGAGGAGGCCCAGAGCCGTTCCAAGAAGTCCGCGCGAGGTTCCGAAAGGTTCGGTTCGTGGCGGGCTTTTCCTCCAGACGACGGCGGCTACGACGACGACGACGACGACCTCGACGACGATGTAGACGACGACCACGACGACGACCACGACGACGACGACCTCGACGACGATGTAGACGACGACCACGACGACGACCACGACGACGACGACGGCGGCGGCGACGACGACGACGACGACCACGACGACGACCACGACGACGACCACGACGACGACCACGACGACGTTCACGACGGCGACGGCGAGGGCGGCGGCGCCGACTGCGCCACTCCGAAGAAGGCGCTGCTGGGCACCATGCGCGGGAGGGTCGCCGAGCTGGGCCTCGGCGAGGAGGCGCTACGCGCCCTCGAGGAGTGGCGCGAGGACGTGGCGGCCGCGCCGCCCGCTGCGGCGGAGGCCGAGGCGGTCCGCGTCGGTCGGTCGGCCCGTCGGGCGGTCGGTCGTGATCGCCGTCGAGGCGTATGATGTTCCAACCTGCCCATCGGTCGCTGAAGGAAGTATTTGTGGATTTCCAGATTCCAATCTACTTTGAGCGCCTTCCTGCTTCAATGATCGAGTGGCTTCATCTTTTCCGTCCTCCAAAGGGGGCGGATGGAAGCCAATCTCTTTTCAACGCCTGCTTACTTCATGTTCCTACCTACTTCTTCCGAACAATGGATAATTGGGCCTTGACCAACAGAATTAATTCCGAGCGCCAAGAGAGAACATCGAGATTGGGCGGTTTTTATGTGTCGGGCCCTGGGAGGCGACATCCGTTCGGCGCTTCACCGGCGTGTCGGGCAGACATTGTTTCGATACTTTTCGGGATGTTCGGAATGATTCCTGGAATGTGCTTCTGAAACAAGTGGGCCGCGGAGGAGGGGGAGGACAGAAGGAAGAGAGACGGATGGCCCTCCCCCTCCCCAGGCACCTCACACTAAAACCTTACGTTCTAGGCTGGCGCGCGAACTCTCTCGTTTCGTCCGCCATCGTCAGAGGAGGAGTAAGAGGAGGAGGAGGTGGTGGAGGAGGAGAAGCAGGAGGAGGAGGAGGAGGTCCAGGGAGAAGCAGGTGGACGAGGAGGAACAAAAGGAGGTCGAAGGAGAAGGAGGAGGAGGAGGAAATCCCATTGCCTGTGTGGGGGGGGGCATTGGGCCTTCTAGGTACGTAAGTTTTCTGAGAGGGTCATGGCATCCTCATTCCTCTGCCTCCTCCTCCTTCTCCTCCCCCACCTCGGGCCTCCTCATCATCCCCTCAACTTCCCGTATCCTCGTTTTCATCATCATCATCATCATCAGCAGCAGCATCAGCAGCATCAGCAGCATCAGCAGCGTCAGCATCATCATCATCATCATCATCATCATCATCATCATCATCATCATCATCATCATCATCATCATCTTCGGCGACGACGACGACGAAGACGACAACGACGACGACGACGACGACGACGACGACGACGACGACGACGACGACGACGACGACGACGACGACGACGACGGCGGCGGCGGCGGCGGCGGCGGCGGCGGCGGCGGCGGGGGGGCGGCGGCGACAGTGACGACGGCCGTGACGGCAAAGACGGCAACGCCGCAGGCGGTGCGTGCTGCGACGCCGTGGGAAGTCCGCCGCCTCCAGCGGTTCCTCAGGGCGCTGCACCTCAACGACTTGTGTTTTCTCCCGGTGCCCCTCGACATCAGGCTGGGCTGGGGGGAGGGGGGGAGGGAGGACGGGGGAGCACATCAACGATGTTGCAATAAGCCCTTTGGAAGTGCCCCGTTGGAAGACAACCGTCTGAGAGTCCTCAGTCGTGCCCAATGCCACTCTTTGGATTTCAATATCGCGAGTCAACTTCACGGTTGCGTTTTGGCGATCTTTCATCGTGCTGGAACACAATTCTTGGGATTGGAACACCGCGAATCAGAGTGACCGTTGCGCCCTGACAATCCTAAATCGTGCCGGAACACCATTTCTGGGACGTCAACCGCAAGAACCCGTTAATTAGTTAGAAATGTTTTAAGGCGGATGTGCGCGGCGTTAGGGCGAGAGCTACATCTTAAAAAAGGGCCCGTCTTCCATCCGTGAAATTGTCGCAAACGTTCTCAGGAGAACGTGCGCGGCGCCAGGGCGAGAAAGGCGTGTTGGAAAGCAGCCCGCCCTGCAGCTGTGAAGCTGCGGCAAACGCTTAAGACGAACGCACGCGGCGCGAGGGCGAGAGCCACATGTCGAGAAGGGCCCGCCCTCCATCCGTGGACGTGTCGCAGCCGTGTCAGACGAGCTCAGGAGAGGAAAAAACACACAGACACAATTAATCTTCGATTTTCCAGAAAATATGGGAAAATATGGGAAGTGGGGGGGAAGACAGAAACCCAGAAAATATGGGAAAATATGGGGAATAGTTTTGTTTGTGTGTATTTATTTGTGTGTCCTGGAGCCCCTTCACGAGCGTGCGCGGCGCGAGGGCGAGAGCCACACGCTCAAGAGGAGCTGGCCTCCACCCGTGAAGCCGGCGCAAAAACTTCATCGGGCGAGGGTGCGCGGAGCCAGGGCGAGGGCCGCGGTTTGAAAATGGCCCGCCCTCCACACGGCGAAGCTGGTGCAGCCTCGCAAGACGAGCGTGCTCGGCGCCGGGGCGAGGCCCACATCTTGAGAGCGACCGCATTCCACCCGTGAGGCTGCGGCAGCGTTGAAAGGCTGCGTGCGTGGCTCTCAGGCGTCAGCCTTCTTTTGGAAAGGGACCGCCCACAATCCGTGAAGCTGGTGCAAATTTTTTGGAAGAATGTGCGCTGCGCTAAGGCGAGATCAACATTCTGGAAGAAAGGTTTCGCCTTCCATCTGTGATGCTGTTGCAAGCTTTGAGGCGTCATGATCCTGAAGGGTGAGGACTTCTCGGGCGAAGTGCCCAGCCCGCCTTAGCGACACGTCTCGGGGTGCGACAGGGAAGAGTTATTTGCAGCGAAAAGAACTGGAAGAGGAGGAGGAGGAGGAGGAGGAGGAGGGGGAGGGGGAGGAGGAGGAGGAGGAGGAGGAGGGGGAGGGGGAGGAGGACGAGGAGGAGGAGGAGGAGGAGGCGGGAAAACGGAGGAGGGAGGACGAGCACGAGGACGTGGGGGAGGGGTGATGCGCCGAGCGGCCCCCCGACCCGAGGGCAGCCTCGAATCGGATGATGGACAAGCTGAGGGACCTGCGCGTGGCCTGAGCGCCAGAAAACGGAGACTGGCACAGGCACGCCTCGGACGGGGCCAGGACTCGAAGAGCAAGGAACGGCAGGGTCCTTGTCGGCGGCGAGCGGGGGGGGAAAGTGAGAAGGAGAAGGCCTTCTCAGAAGGCGGCTGGACTTCTCGGAACCCCCGCGCGCCTTCTGAGCGGTTTCTTGTTTCTTTGGGGAAGGCTTAGAAAACTTTGAGAAGGCCGGGGCACTTCCGAGCCTTCTGAGGAGGCCCGCTCCTTCTCACTTACCCCCCGCGCTCGCCGCCAATCCTGGATCTGCCAGGATTTCGGAGGTCCGCCAGGATTTCTGGGATCTGCGCTGGTCCCTGCTGGCGGCGCCGCCCACGGCGCGCTCCGCGTGGCAGGGAGGGGGGCCCACCGCGGATCCGGGAAATCCGCAAGGACCTCGGACCTCCGAAAGCTCATGTCTACGCCGCTCCGCAGCCTTCTGGGAGGGATCGGCGAAGCGATGCTCCGACGGGTGCTGCTGGAGGTGCCCTTGGCCCAGGCTGCCCCAGGATCTCCGAGGAGGCCCTGTGCGGGCTCCGGAGCACCCCCCACGAGGCCCAGGCGGCCCCGCAGGGGGCTCCAAGATTCGCGGGCGATGTTTCTCCCCCAATCCCCGAGTTTCGCCCGAAAAGTTTGGCCGCTCAGAAGAATGGGAAAACCCTGGGACACACCCCAAGGGGGCTATTCGGACGCACCCCTTATCGAGAATGGACACACCCCCATCGTATATCCCAGGGTTAGGCCCCAAATTTCTGGTCCATTCGGAAACCCCACGAAGCCTGGGATAGGGGTCGACATATCCCCAGGCGGCCCCAGGGGGCTCCAAGATGGAGCGAAAAGAGGATTAGGAGGAGGACGAGGAGGAGGAGGAGGAGGAGGAGGAGGAGGAGGAGACGGAGGAGGAGACGGAGGAGGAGGAGGAGGAGGAGGAGGCGGGGGGGCGCCCGGGCCCAGGGGCACCACTCAGCAGCCCCCGCCTCGGTCCCGGACTCGTCGTCTGGAGGCCCGCGCGGGCCTCTGGGGTCGGCGCTGGGCGCCCCCTCCCCCCCCCCCGCAAAGCGTCGTCGTCGTCGTCGTCGTCGCCGTCGGCCGTCGGCCGTCGTCGTCGGTCGTCGTCCGTGTTTGTCGTCGTTCGTGTTTGTCGTCGTCCGTGTTTGTCGTCGTCGTCGTCGTCGTCGTCGGCCTCGGCGTGACCCCTCGGAGGCCCGCGCGGGCCTCCGGGGTCGGCGATGGGGCCCGCGGCGCGCCCCTGGCAGGCCCCGCACGCCGAGGCCGACGACGGCCGACGCCGACGACGACGACGGCCGACGCCGACGTACGACGACGGCCGACGACGGCCAACGCCGAGGCCGACGAGGGCCGACGGCTGACGGCGACGACGACGACGACGGCCGACGCCGACGTACGACGACGACGACGACGACGACGACGACGACGGCCGACGCCGACGTACGACGACGACGACGACGACGACGACGACGACGACGACGACAAACACGGACGACGACAAACACGGACGACGACGACGACGACGACGACGACGACGACGATTTGCGGGGGGAGGGGGGGGAGGGGCGCCCAGCGCCGACCCCAGAGGCCCGCGCGGGCCTCCGAGGGGTCACGGTTGTGTTTTTTCTTCCTTTTTTTTTTGTTCTCCCTCCGGCGCGGCAGGAGCCGAGCCAGAGGTGTCGACCGTACACATCGTGGACGCTTCGCGTGGCTCGAAGACGAAGGGAGGGCATGAGCACGGAGGGGGAGGAGGAGGAGGAGGAGGAGGAGGAGGAGGAGGAGGAGGAGGAGGAGGAGGAGGAGGAGGAGGAGGGGGAGGGGGAGGGCACGAACACGGACCGTCGGCACTCCGCGCGGAGTTCTCGGATCGGCGCCGGGGCCCCTGGTGACGCCTCCGGCGCCGCCCCCGGCGCGCTCCGCGCGCCAGGGAGAGGGGCCCAGCGCAGACCTAAGAAATCCGCGCGGACCGTCGAAAGTTTATATCTATACCGCTGTGTTTCTCCCTTGGGAGCCAGCGGTCGACCGTACAAGTCGTCGATGCTTCGCGCATCGCCACCAGCCCATGCAGCAAGGGTGCCCGGGCGAGGCGAGTCGCCTTGGCCAGGGAAGTGTGGGAGCGCGCGCAGCGGACCACAGAGGGGGGCAGAGGGCAGACCGAAGACTGGGATCAGCCTGGGCAGGCCCTGGAGTTAACCATACATGCCTTCGTGGATGTGTCGATCTGGGAGCCTCTTGGCAGCCTCGTGGATGTGTCGATCTGGGAGCCTCTTGGCAGCGTCCTTTGTGAATAGAACCCGTGTAATACCCTCATATATACTCCTTATCCTCACCTCTCCTGCGCCTGGCCGTTTGGGCTCAGGTATCAGGCCCTGGAGTTAACCATACATCGGGCGAAGAGAACTATGCACATGCACCGATCCTGGCAAGGCAAATCCTTGACCCAGGATCGGTGCATATGCCTTCCTGGCCAAGGTAGGAGGGCGTATGCACCGATCCTGGGCTCAGGATGGGCCTGGCCAGAATCGGTGTATGTGCATAGTTATTTTTCCTCTACATACATGCCTGCGTGGATGTGTCGATCTGGGAGCCTCTTGGCAGCCTCGTGGATGTGTCGATCTGGGAGCCTCTTGGCAGCGTCCCTGCCCCGTCTTTCGGGAGGCCTGTGGGCCCCCTGCGGGGCTTTCACAGGGGCCCTCTCGGGAGTCTCTGGCGCCATCTAGGAGGACATCGTTCAAAGAAGGGGGGGTCCTCAATCAGCCCCGCCCCCCTGGAGCCAAAGCAGTCGCCTCTTGGGCAGCTCTTGGGGCTGTCTTGGGACCCTCTTGGAGCCTTCTTGGGCCATGTAGTACCATCTTGAGGATTCGAAAGCCCATCGGAAGCGAAGAAGTGAGAATTCAAATTTCCCTGCGACGTACCCAACCCTGTCTGAATATGTGGCGACTATACCCAGGACCGCTCAACACGAACGAATCAGTTGAAGGACCCGCAGTACGCAGCAGCACCCCTCCGTGCGCAGGGAGCAAGGAGGTCTCGGCTGGGTCTACGTGGCCCCCCACTCCGCCATGCCTCCCAGGAGCCCACGATAGTGGCGACGGTTGCGCACTTCGCAGCCCCCCAGGGAGCCGCGAGGTCTCGGCTGGGTCTGCTTGGCCGCCCACTCTGCGTTGCCTCCCAGAAGCCCACGAAAGTGGCGACAGTTGCGCAGTTGGCAGCCCCCCAGAGGACGCACAAGATGCAGGATAACGCACACGATGCAGGAATACGGAGGGGGGGGGGGAGGAGGAGGGAGATCCGCGAGTAGCGCTCTATTCAAAACGAAAACCTAACACAGGAGGGCTGGGGCAAAAACAATGAAGCCCTTATGTGCCGCACGGGTTTTCTCTCGGGGGCGTTGTTTGGAGGCTCCGTGGCCATCTGGGGCCGCCTTGGAGCAGTCGTGGGGCCCCTTGGAGGCAGCTTGCAGGCCATTTAAGCCATAGTTTGAAGGTCATCTTGAGCTTTCTGGGGGCCTCTTGGGGCCATGTTGGGCAAAAAAAGACCCAAAACCAGCAGCACCCGAGTCTCGGCATACTCAGCGGTCGCCACTGGATGGACAGCCATTGGCAACCAGCACAAGCGCCAGGTGCGCGACTCTGGCGAGGGGCACCACGCGCTCCAGGTGTGCCAGGCGCCCCAGGGGCCGCCCAAATGTGCCAGGCGCGCCTGGTGCGCCAGATGCCCCCAGGTGCTCCACATGCGCCAAGTTCGCTTCGCTTCGCTCGCAGCTCGATGTCCCGTTGGACGAAGCTGTTCGCGCGGCCGCGGCCGCGCGCGCGCGCCCGAGGCGCGCGGAGGGGGCCACCCCCCCGACACGGGCCCCCGCCAGGAGGGCATGCGCCAAGTATGCCATGTCCTCCACCCGCGCCAGCTGCGCCGGTACACCTGGCAGCACACACCAGGAAACGTGTCGGCCCACCCAAGCCACCCCTGACGAAACCACTGAACAATGTCAGCGGCATGACCATCATGGTGAACGGCACGTGCACCCGCAGACAGTTTGCATGTGTACATGAAAACGTTGGTATGGCCGTACACACCAGGCAATCTGAGGGCCCCTTCCACCATCTATTTCAAACAGCAATATACAAAGCCATCGCGGAGCGCCCGCGCATGGTCGAAGATTTCGCCGCAGATCGTACTTTGTTTCGTATTTCGACAGGGGTGGTGGGGGGGTATAGTCCCAAGTTTGCTCCTAGTTGGATGGGGGAGGGGATGAATATCCATGCGGAGTTCAACCCTCCCCGAGGGGAAGAAGGGGGATGGAAAGAGGAAACGCTCTAAACCATATGCGGCCAAAGGGCTGCTGCGATTCAGCATCGCACCCTTCCCGACATCTGCCTCCCCCTCTCCCTCCGCCTCCTCCGTCTCTTCTGCACATCCTGTTGGTGCCCACCTTCCCCGTGATCCTCCTCCCGCACGTCGTCCTCCCCCTCTTCCTGCGGCATCTCTCCCTCATTGTCCTCTCCATCCTGTCCCGCCTGCTCATCCCCCTCTTCCAAGGGCTTCTCATCCTCGCCCTCCTCCCTCCCTCGCCCTCCTCCCTCCTCCTCTCCTCCGAGGCAATCCCAGGGGCGCGAAAAGACGAGCAGCCAGGCAGGTGCTCTTCTCCTTGGGTCCCACGCAGGGACCGTGGATCGCACCGCGCATCGCGGGGCGCCGCGTGCAAAGTTTCAGGTGGTGACCAGAGGCGTCTGGGGGCAGCGGCAGAGCGTCTGAATTCCTCGAAGCATGGGTCCTCAATCTTCGGACCCTCAGCTCCTCCCCCCCACTCCCTTCACCCCCCCCCTCTCACCTCTTCACCACCACCCCGCCTCCGTCCTTCTCCCCCTCCTCCTGTTCCCCTCCCCACCCCAACCCCGTCCTCCCCGTGCCCCTCCTCCTCCTCCTTCTCGCCATTTCGCGCCGAGCTCGCCCTTGGCCTGCAGAGAGGCGGCGCACGGCGAAGCGAGAGCCCAATTCGAAGCGGCACTGCCCTCGCGGCCTGGATGGCCCCTGGAACCCAGCTCGCGCAATGGGCGACTTGCGGCATCTGCAGGTCTCAGGATGGGGAGGGCTACAGTCGGAGCTCGTCGATGCGCGCCTGCAGATTGGCCCACTTCTGCTGCTGCTCTGCCGAACGAGCCCTCTCTGCTTCCAGCTTCTCCTGGGCCACCTTGGAGTCCTTCTGCTGCTGCTCGACTCGCTCCTTGGTGTGGTCCCGCTGGGCCTCGTACTTACTCCTCTCCCGCACGACCTTGCACTCTGAGAAGCATCGTGGGGCGCCGCTGCCTGCGTCGACAGCCTCCTGCATCTCACCAACCCGCTTCTGAAGGAGGGTGATGTTGTCGGTGACCAGCGGGGCGAGGTCGGGGCCTTCCAGCCTTCTTCCGCATCTCCTGGGAGTGGCCTCTGGACTTGCGGCGCTTGGCCTTGACGGCGTCCTCGCTCTCCGCAGTGCCGCTGCTGTTGTTGCCGTCGCCCTGGGACTTCGCGCCGTCTTTGGTCTTCCAGCGCTTCCAATAGAAGTCGTACAGTCGGGGCGTTGACCTAAGGAACCCTCAATAAGGAACGAGGCCCCTTTTTCCCATAAGTTAAACTTCGATTTCCCATGGAAAACCCAAGGCAAACTGTAAAACAATCAAGGACGTTTTGTCATGGTGCGAAACACTGGCTGGAGACCTGAGCTCAATGTGAGACTTACACCAAGGTGACATGTGCCTGGGTCACCACCAGGAAAGCAGATAAGGGCCGCTCAATCCCTCCTGCCAGGTAGCTCCTGCCGCCACGGTCCTGAACCGAAACGGCTTGAGCCAAAACGGCTACGGACCCCCTCTTCCTCCTCCTCCTCCTCCTCCTCCTCCTCCTCCTCCTCCTCCTCCCTTCCCCCTCTCCTCCTTCCTCTCCTCTCCTCCTCCTCCTCCTCCTCCTCCTCCTCCTCCTCCTCCTCCTCCTCCTCCCCCTCGGTCCTCCTCCTCCCCCCCCTCGCCCTCCTCCCCTCCTCCCCCTCCTTTCCCGCCTCCGTTCCCCCCTTTTCGTCCGCCTCGCATCCTTCCCTCCCCGCTGCCGCCTCTGCCCCACCGGCGGGGCGCGCGGGACGCCGGCCCGTGGCGCAGCACGTCGCTCTGTCCTTCGCGGGCTGCACTTCAGCCAGGGTTCACACTTCGCTTTCGTCTGCCCACCTTGATTTCCGAGAGGGGAAGACGCGAAATAGTCATAAGCGCACCTTTTTTCTTGTTGAATTCCACGAGGGCACACTTATCGGGGGACCCCTTCGTGGAGGGAACTTCACGGCGGCTTCCGGCGTGAAATGTTGGAAGGAGTTGTCTCTATTCAATTCAGTTGACAATTGCCCTACATCGGACCTCTTCGTATGTCTTCTGTGGCCCTGGCGTCCGCCCGACCATACACATCATGTCCGTCAGCATCATAATCAGCATCATCATCAGCAGCAGCTTCATCATCGCTATCATCATCAATACCATCAGCATCAGCATCGGCACCATCATCATCACCATCATCACCGTCATCACCAACATAATCATCAGCATCATCAGCATCAGCATCATCATCGTCATCATCACCATCACCATCATGACCATGAGCATCATCATCACCAGCATCAACAACATCATCATCAGCATCATCATCATCATCATCATCATCATCATCATCATCGTCAGCA